TACTGTACTAAATGATTGATATTTGTTACTTTGCTGTATCAACATTGACTCATAACACTAACTGACTACGCTGACTGGTTTAGAAAATAGACTTCAGCCCTGATCCTGCAAAGATTTAGGCATGTGCTTAATGGCACTACTCACAGCGTGGAAAGTCTTTGCAGCATTGGGCCTTACTGTGTAAGTCATTTTCCATTGACTTTTTTAATGGAAATTTTGTGGCCAACTCTAACTCTAACCATGTGATACTTGACAAATAGGGTCCCACCACTGACCAACATTTCGTCCCCCTCCGCCATCTCATCCTCCTCACCAGATGAGGCAGAGATGCCTCCCTCTGCCCTCTCTTACAGACAACATTAAACTCTTTCAAAACCTAAGAGGGTGGCAGATACTTTGCAATTGCCTCTAGAGGTAAAAGAATCACACCATAAGCTAATAGACATTTTACACTCCTCTTCTTTCTTGGATCCAGCCAAGATGATATTGCAGACCCTGCATCGGTCGCGCCAATCTGTAAGCGAGCTGATAAGAAATACTACATCCCAGCCAAGGGCACAGAGTTTCTTTTCTCCCATCCACCCCCTAATTTGATTGTTGTGGATGCAGTGAACTCCAGAGGTCGTCAGCACTAGGCAAAGTCCACCTCACATGATAAATATTGGAAACGCCTCAACCATTTTGGAAGAAAGGCTTATTCTTCTGCCACACTACAATTCCATATCGCAAATTACCAAGCTCTAATAGCAAAATATGACTACTTCAATTACTCCAAACTCAATTTGTTTATTGATCAGCTTTTGGAATAACACAGAGATCAGTTTAGGGCCATTATCAAAGGACAACTGGTAGCCAAGATGGCACTTCAATCAGTGCTCGACGTAGGCGATTCTGCAGCACGATCCATCTTCACAGCAATTGTGATGCGATGAGCCTCTTGGCTACATTTATCTGGCTTCCCCAAAGAAGTACAGACAACCACAGAGGACCTTCCCTTCAAAGGCACCAAATTGTTTGCAGAAAAGACGGACGCATCCCTCCACACACACACACACACACACACAGACTCCAGGGCTACTCTTTGGTTGTTGGGGATTTGTACACCTGACAGAAGAGAAAATACAGTCCTCAGCCCTCACTTAAATCGTGCACAGCACACTATCAAACCCAATGCTTTTATGAAAGGAAAAAGTCCAGATTCTCAAACTGAAAACCATTGGGCACAAAGCCTTCCTCTTCCCAACCATCCACTTCAGAACATCAATTTTGACAGATTAGTCAGGGCACCAACAGACCACTCCCTCCAATACCATCTGATGCTAAACAACCCTTCACATCCCTTTGGGTGCCACCTTGCTCTGTTCCACAGCACCTGGGATTGGATAACATCTGACAAATTGGTGCTAGAGATCAACCTCAATGGGTATTCCATTCATTTTGTCGGAGAAAAAATGAATGGAATACCCATTGAGGTTGATCTCTAGCACCAATTTGTCAGATGTTATCCAATCTCTCACTCTGTCCCTGCAACACCTTTCCCCATCCCTCTTCAGGGACCTGCCTCATGAGAGTCTATTGTGACAAGAGATAGATCACCTTCTCTGTGTAGGAGCCAGAGAACCAGTACCTCAGCAAGTAGGAGGCAAAGGTTTTTACTCTTTACAGTAAAAAAAGAAGTGGGGTTGGAGATCCATCTATGGGACCTCAGAGCACTCAACAAGTTTGCCAAGGCTCAAAAATTCAAGATGGTCATTCTAACAGCGATTATTCCAGCTTTGGAACAGGGAGACTTTTTTACCCCTCGACTTTCAGGATGCTTATTTTAATCTTACCATCCCACAGAGGGTTCCTCATATTTACCCCAAGACACGACAACCACCAGTACAGTGTACTCCTTTTCGGGCTATCATCGGCTCCCAGAGTATTCTCCAAGGTCCTCATTGTAGTGGCAGCTCATCTTCATTTCCAGGGAATCATGATCTGTCCCCATCTAAATGGGGGTTTAGACAACTGCCTCATCAGGGCTCGTTCCTTCGACCAAACTCTGCAGGTTACCCATATGACTATGGGCTTGTTCAGAAGCCTGGGCCTACAAATCAATGTCCAAAAATAAATGTTAACCTCAGTACAGAGATTAGAGTTCATAGGAGCCAATCTCGACTCTCTCCGAGTGAGAGCGCTCCTCCCACAAAACAGATTCTATAAGAGTGGAACAGCTTGAGGAGCCAGTGCAAACCAGCCCTCAAATATCAGCCAGACGCTGCCTTCAACTGTTGGGGCCCATGGCTGTAGATACATCTGTGATAGCTTATGCCAGGTTTTGCATGAGGTGTCTCCAGTCATAGTTCACCTCAGTTTACAGGCCAATCAGAGACAGCCTAGACAAGCCCCTATCATTACCCACCAAAGTCAAGCAATCCTTGAAGTGGTGGAAGGACCCAGCAAACATCTGACGGGGATCTCGTTTGCACAGCCCAACCCCCCTCCGGCACTACTCCTCACCATTGACGCATCCCTTATAGGATGGGGAGCACATCTCAACAACCTCACAACATGGGGCAAGTGGTCACCCACGGAGGCATGTGTTCATATCACTGTCCTCAAATTCAGAGCACTCAGGAATGCATGTGCTTATTTCCTTCTGCTGATTAGAGGTACACACACAAGGGTCATGACAGACAACCTAGCATGTATGTACTACATAAATCATCAATGGGTGCCAGATTACCTTCCCTTTGTGAGGAAGCACTAATGCTATGGAACTGGTGCATTACAGTATCAATGGCCTACCTACCAGGAGTGCAGAACACGACAGTGGAGAGTCTCAGATGCAAGTTCCTACACAACCACAAATGGGAGATAACTCAGTAGTTTTTCAGACAGTGAGGGACACCAACAATAGACTTGTTCACCACTTACCTGAACAAGAAATGCCCATGCTACTTCTCCAAGGCAGGCCTCGGTCAGCACTAGGAATGTTTTCTTTCTCTCATGGGACAAGGGCCGTTTATACGCCTTTCCCACATTTCCTCTATCGCTGAAAGTCCTATTAAAAATAAAGAGAGCAATTGTATTAATGATTGCTCCCATCTAGCTGAGACGGATATGATACCCTTACCTGTCACAGCTGGCAACATGTCTGCTAGTCTCTCTCCATACCTCCTCTCGCAGAACGAAGGAAACACTTTCCACCCCAACCTGTGGATACTCCAACTCAAGGCCTGGCTCCTTCATGGTTCCAGCACATATAAAGATCCTGCTTTCAGGAAGTATGGGGAGTGTTATTACATAGTATGAAATTGGCTACCCTGTTTACTTACCTGCAAAAGCAGACTAGATTTCTGGTTTGGTGTAATTCCAAGCAAATTTCCCCATCTGCTACTCTCCCAATGGTACAGTATATACTGACTCAAGAAATCAGGACTCTCTCTTAGTTCATTCAAAGTTCACCTAGCAGTCATAGCAGCCTTTTATGAAGAAATAGAGGAATTCTCAGTGCTCTCGCACCCAACTACAAAACAATTCCTTGAGGATATAGTAAATCTTTTTCCCCAACCCAGATGCCCCACCTCAATATGGGACCTCAATGTAATACTAAAGAGCCTGACTAAGCCACCCTTTGAACCCAGGGCCACTTGTTAGCTCACATACCTGCCTAAGAAGACAGTGTTCCTGGTGGCAATCACCTCAGCAAGGCGAATAGGGGAGATAGCAGCACTAATGGCACCCCTCCTACCCTCTTATACAATATTATTTCGGGACAAGGTTACTTTCAGACTGCAGCCAAAGTTCATCCCCAAGATGACCTCATCTTTTCACATAAACCAACTGATTCACCTCCCATCCTTTTACCCTAATCCTCACTGCGATAACAAGAGGCTATACTGCACACCCTAGATGTTAGGAGAGCCCTGGCCTTTTACCTGGCCAGGACAAAGGCCTTTAGGAAATCTAAGCTTTCCCTTTCCATTATGGAAAGGTCTAATGGTGCAACGATATCGGCCCAGAGACTCTCCAAATGGGTCTCGAATTGTATCAAACACCATCAGGATCACAACATAGTATCGCCATCTGGAATCCACACACACTCCACAAAATTTGTTTCCTCCTCTGTCACGTTCCTCAAGAATGTCCCCATCTCAGAAATCTGCATGGCGACAACCTGAGAGTCTGCGCATACCTTCTCAGAACACTCTATGATTACTGCGGAGTCTGCTTCCAATGCAGTCTTTGGCTCCGCAGTATTGTCATCCATAACAGCTCCAAAATCCCAGCTTCCCATTAGGGATACTGCTCAGGAGTCACCTACAGTGGAGCACCCATATGGACACTACTCAAAGAAGAGGAAGTTACTCACCATGTGCAGTAAAGATGGTTCTCTGAGATCTGTGTCCCTAGGGATGCTCCATGACCCACCCTCCTCCCCTTACTTAGCAGTTCTTGTCAAGGACTCTGTGGTAGAGGAGGAACTGAGGGGGATTCACCAGGGCGTGCTGGTTAGCCTCCTGGCAGAGTACGAGGAGGGGACAGCACATATGTGGGGTGAATGAACATTGCTACCAAAATTCTATCAGCAGTGCAGGGATGCAAGAGCAGCTGCCATGGAGCACCTTTACGGACACACATCTCACAGAACTATTGTTACTGCACAAGGTGAGTAACTTCCTCTTCATTGCAATTATTTACCAAAAATATCTTATTTTCATACTGGGACTTTTTGTAATGCATTATAGAAATGAAATGGTAAACAGTATTTTTTATTAAAATGGAAACTTTATTGAAAAAAATCATTCTTGCTGCTCTTCTACTGAAACAGAATTTCTGGCAGTAAGATCAGTGTAGAAAAACAAAGTATAAATGAGGTAAAATCAAAACAAAAATTCTGTGATTTAAAACACTTGTGATTCTTAAGATCAGAGATAAACCAGAAGTTTAGTGACTCTAAAATTAGTGCCTAGAAAATGAATTGCAGTTGTTACCATTTCCTTTTTGTCAATCAGATTCTACCAGTATTAACAGAGTTGCTGACACTTTGAATACCTCAAGTATCCATCGAGGTCCCAAGAGAGATCCCAGTGAAGAATGGAATGCAATAGCAAAGACTTTTTATGATGATTCTTTTCCCACAGAACATGTAAGTCAATTAAAAATATTGCCGAGCAGACCTTGGTGAGCTAATTCCACAGATATGTGTAGAACTGTATGCCTCTGGATGCTTTAAGACCTAGTCGATCTCCAAAATAATATCAAGAGGGCAACATGGCACCATTTTTCACAATTAATGTTGATAGAAAACAGCAGGAAAAAGTCACAGCATATAAATCAAGCAGATGCTAGCCAGTCTGTTTTGGGAGGAGAGGGTGAGGTAGTTCATTATGCACCTCAATAAAAATGATCACCTACAATATAGGAAGACAAGCACATTATGTTCCTTTTGTTTACTTATCTAATAAAATAATTCACAATATATATGAATTGCAGTATCTGTTAGCTAGTTTGTTCTATGCTGCAATAAAATATATATTACTCATTGCTTTTGAATTTGTTCATTATCATCTTTGTTTGATAAGGCAGAATATTCACATTGGTATACATCAATGTATGCATAAGCAGAGAATTAAGAAGAAACCTGTCATTCTCTAGGGTCAATTTGTCATATAAGATTAAACTAGCCATGTTTCATGTTGCATTTTGGAGATCTCTGTGGTACGTAACACTGTATGTAAAAACTTGAAGAAAAGGGCTGAGTCTGGTTTCTGTCTCAAAGAGACAAGTTCTAAGGCACAATATTAAACATACCTTCAAGGGTGATTTTTTTTTGGTGACAACTTGTGAATTAACCATCTTGGACCTTCCACTTTGGAAATGATTACTGAGAAGATGGTGGGCAGTCAGCTGGATCCTATTGGTCTGGTTATGTAGAGATAATTATACTGATATCTTCATCTGATAGACCAAGGTTAGAGGTCTACTGATTTTATTGGATCACTTTCAATACTATTTCAGCACCATTGGCTCACCTGTTCTCTAGTAGCACTATTCCTTCCTTTTGGATAAATCTCAAAGGGTTGTATTGAACAACTCTTCAGCCTCTCAAAACACTACTTCCATGTTATCAGTATTTTTTCAACCAACATGAGGCCACTGGTGAAAGTTGAGTTGTTTTAGGCTGCATGCGCAGCAATATGCTCATGATACTCAGATCTCTCTTTTGCCTAACTCAGGTTCCAATGTGTTTGCTCTTTCCACATGTGAAAGACATAGGAATAAGGATAAAGATGAACTGAAGTTAATGCTGAGTGGTAGGGAGAAGCACCTGGATAAATTGGCGGAGATTATATCCATTCCTTTTAATGAGTGGAAATGCTATTTCTGCCCTTAGTTAAAATAGTAGACCAACATGTCTTAGCTACAGCTAGACAAGAGGTTGCAGCATTTCCTTTAACATACACACCTCTGACTGCATTTATACACACTTTTGTCACTTCTAGACTACACTACTGAACTGTGGTCTACCTAGGGCTATTCATGAAATCCAAGCGAAGACTTCCACTGGGGGAGAATGTAGCCACTTGCCTTTGTGGATTAGACATATGTGAGACATAACCAGTGCATCTTGCTGACTTCAGGTGCATTTCAAAGTGTTGAATCTATAAAGCCCCAGCCTGGGATTTTGCTTCTGCCTCTTCCCATTTGTTTTGGTATTACAATTGTAATAAGTTATTTCCTCAAGACTATAACTTTTATAGGCATAAAGAAGGGGAGCTGGAGGATTAAAAATAGTTAAGAGGTGTTCTTGATCACTAACAACTTATATTGCTATCATATAGACTACTGTACCAGTTATGTGCTACAGCACACTGAATAAATTGTATTCTAGCTCAGACTAAATACATTCATCTGGGAGGAAAAAAAAGGAAAGCTAGGGGGTATTTTTTTATTTAGTTGAGCCCTTTAATTCTGAAACATTTCCTGCTCCAGTTAATAATTATGAGACATGTCTCATTCACTGCATCTTGAAAGGTAAAAGCTGCACAACTAAGGTCTACAAGGAGAGCAGCTCTCTCATGAAGACCTCGTAAGGTGCATGAGATCAGACCCTCTGGTGATGTAGTCATTTCTGCTATATAGATTTTTTTTTTAAGTAAACCTAGAAAAAATAGAGGCTATTAAAGTTGGATAGTTAAACAGTCATAAACCAGGAAATTACAAAGGTAAAACCTTAATTCTGGCCCTTGTACTTATGTATTATAATATATATGATCATTTAATTAGACTGTCTCAAATACAATCCATACAGCTTTTCTACAACCTTAGGGTTTATACACACTACCACTTATGTTGGTATAACTTAGGTCAGAGTTGTAAATAAGCCACCCCCCTAAATAACGTAAGTTACACCAATCTAAGCACCGGCGTGGACAGCGCTGTCAGTGGAGAGCTTCTCCTGCCGATACAGTTACCGCCTCTCAGAGGTGGTTTTATTATGCTGAGGGGAGAGATCTCGCCCATTGGCATAAAGCGTCTTCTTCAGATGCACTATAGTGCTTCTAGTGTAGACTAGCCCTTACATACATTTGTGGTATTTTGTAGTACTGTGTGTGCCAGCCATAGTCCAGTAGTCATTTCTATCAGAAGTGGAGTACATCATTGTACCATTTTCACAAAGCATACTGCAAACTAGGTATAACAGCAATAGAGAAAATTTGCTGGGATACTTGAAATATTTCATAGCTAACACATTTCATAACTACCTGACCCCATGAATTATATGCAAGGATGTATGTGTAGTGGTTGAAAAAAATTGTATAAGATATGGCTGCTGACTAAATAAGCCATGTATTTGGATAAGACAGGCAAGAATGTACCATATAAAAGTCTAAGTCAAGGATGACCTGGACCACAACAACATGGAAAATAGGATATATACGAATGACAAAAATAGTACAAGATACTACACAAGTGCACCTAAGATTACAGGGTGGGGGGTGGGGAAAAATCAAGGAATTGTATATAACCATGTATTAAGCATCCATACACTGTGCTTGCAATCAGAATGCATATGCACAAGTGCAGAGTTAAGGTTGCATGAGCATCCTTAACTCATTTGCTGACCTGAGTGCTTAACATTTAAAAGCCTAAAGGATACAAATTTTTAATCCAATGGATGGGATTCACATAGCTATCCAGTATTTCAAACACATTGTAACATATCTATATTGAATCTATGAGCCTCTACACATACTACCTACTGCAATTTATTCTCCAGGGCTCAAATGCTGGTCCCTCTTGGACGAAAACCCTAGTAAATGGCCTTGCACATGGGAACCTTACTAGCAATGCCAAGTGCAAAAACAATTCTCCTCACGCCAATCTAACAAGAAGGTGCAGGTATAGTTCCATGCATCCCCTAAATGGGAATTCTGGCTGGTGGAAGCATTGGCAATGGACAGCTTGCCCACAGTCCTTCAGGCCTGTGGAGAAGAGCCAGGTCCACCATTCATTATCTTACATATAGTGCAGTTTCTCTGCATGGCAGCCCACATAGTGGAACTGCAACAGTTTCGTTACATTTTGGACCTTACTAGGGGTAGAAGTGTGGAACAGCATTTGGTCATAAAAGAAATAACTATTATATTTTTCCATACTCCATCTTGAGATAAATTACTCTTATTTTAGTGTACAGTTGAAACATACTTACAATATTCTTTTTAAAATGCAAAAATGGTTATAAAAACACGACATAATGGGTCTTGTAGGAGGTTAGGCCTTAGATACGTATTTTTATTTTTCATAATTATTTTAACAAAGTGGTGTGGAGTCAGTGTCCTTACAGCTTCAAGAGATACTCCCTCTGCCTGTAGCTGAAAAATGACCCTAATAGTCAAAAAGTGCTAGATGCATCTTCAGTCAGCTGGACAACTTGTGCATGGAGCCAACTCCTTGAGACCCTGTGTGTCAAGGACTCCCGTAACAGAATTGCAGTTCTTGGAAATGTAGTTTCAAAGTACCACTCAGTGGTAATAATCTGACAAGCAGTTGAAATATTTGTTAATTCATTATATTATGTTTGAAAGGTGAGCCATGGACCAATAAAATGTCCCCACACCAAACCAGCTGCATCTATGTGTAACACGTGTGCTGTGCAAAGAGTTGGTTTGCTCTAGTAATTATCCACAGCCAGAGTAACTAGGACACTATTTCCATTCTATGTCACTTTAAAACTGAAAGTAAGCAGTTTGAACACAAGTAGTATATTGGAAAAATGCCAAGTTTCTAATGGCTGATTCCGCTTTCCTACTCCATTAGTAGTGGCAGTCCTCGGAAGGGAGAAAACAAAAGCTAAAATGTATACTGCAGCTTTACGTCTATTAAATTTAACCTTAGGGTTTACTATTGTTTTGTTTTGACAGAAGGTAGAATGGAGTGCATAATTCAAGGGAGCAAATAACTTATTTTAAAAAATTCTTGCAGTTTTTTTCTTAGGGGAAAGTGAAAAGGTTTATTACAGATACCTATATAGTCCGAAGATATAACTTTGATCACTTATTTTATCATCTGTCAGTGCTGGATCCAGAAAACACTGTACATGCTTGATTCGATCAGATGTGAGAGTGTGTCTCTACAACATGGTAAACACAACCATCCAAAAAACTAAATGAAGAGCAAAAAGAGCTCTTAACAACATGAGGCTCATTTTTTCCTCACTGACTGTCAGCTGAAGAATGAAGAGTATTTTTAAATTGTGACAGGCATCACTACATAAAAATATCTCCAACTGGCATAATGTACGTTAGCAAATACTTTGCTAAATTGCATACTTAATCCAAAATCGGCAGTCTCTCCCCAATTCTCAGAGAATATTCTGCATTTAAGTCTCAAATTAAGACTTCATTATTTTTATAGAATACAGTACATTTACTAATACATTATGAAGCAGAATAAATTAAAAGTAAACTATGCTTGTCAAACTAAATGAAATTAGTTTTGCAATGCATTATCCTCACTGTTAATCATGTCTGTTTCCTCCTTACTTGCTAATCTTCAAAATTCAATAATTTGCAATGGATCTCTAGATATATCAAGTTATTCTGAGTTTAATGCATTTATAATGCTACATTTTATTCTCTTAGGTTAAAGCAGGAGTTACTGTATCATGCCACCAGCAGAAGCTTTCCCATCTGGCTTCCAATGTAGATACACCAATCTCAAGTAAAAGTTTACTCAGCAAGGAAGAGCAGAATTGTGATTCTCATAACTTCTTTATAAAAAGTCAAATCAATGACACTGAAAAGCTTTTGAATTTAGAAAGGCTCCACCGGTCTAGAAAAAGGAAATATGAAGAAAGTCTAGAAAAAGCTGCGGTAGGGGACAAAACAGAAAAATAATTCAATCTCTGAATATGCATATCATAGAAAGATTTGTAGAAATCTTCCACCGGAAGTAAAGAGGTGCATATTTTATTTTGTGGGTAACTCTAGACTGCAAACTCGCCGATTCCCTCCCCAGTATTTTGATGTAATTGTATTAAAAGAAAATAGATTCCCTACATTTCTGCAATTAAAGTCCTTGCAAGTTGTTACAAAATTTTTGCTAGAAGTTAAAAATTTAAAACAAGTGTTATAAGTATATGTCTGTTAAGTGTAATTTGTGATGTATTTAACAACTGTACCTCCTTCAGATGTTGAAAATCTTAGCTGCAGGACTTCCTAATTTCTCCGCCAGAATGAGCACTAGCACAACTATCAAACAAAAGCGACAAAGGAGGTCTCAGAATGGAATGGTCCCTTCAAACTTTTATGACTCACTAACTGGCACAGGAATAAGAAAGCCTGCTGTTTACATGTATCAGATCTTAAAGAGGAGCTAATTTTTTTTAATATCGTACTAAGTACATATAGATACAATCGGAATTTTAGAATAAATATTGCCTCTTAAAAGGCAAGTCATTAAATGTATCATTTACAGAGATAATAGGGTGGCAATTTCATAAAGATTTAATTTTTCTCTATCCAGCTGATAATCATCTCTTCTTTTCCATTTCCACTCACTTTAGAATTACTTGAATCATCATCCTACTGCTTCTCTCTTCCCTCCCTACCCCTCAAAGAAAGGATTAAAATTGAGAGAACCAAAATGAATTAATGCATAGCCAATATGATCATTATTCATTATTGTTAAAAATGTATTAATGAACTCAAGGTGTTTTCCCATTTTACTTTTATTGCTTTTGTAGCTCATAGTTGAGTCTTTAATTTCTTAAAACCAATTACACATATTTTGGAGACAAAAAAAACTTCAAAAGTTGTCAAAATGAAGTTTTGAATGTTTTTGGAATCTGCTCTGAGGCAAACAAAAAAAAACCACAACATTCAGGTATCAGAAAGACTGAGGAGACTGTTTTTCACATGATTCAAATTTTGTTTCCAGGAGTTAAGTGTGTCATACAATTGTTGCCATTGCTGCTTTCCAAAAGTCCGATGTGTGCTGTTACTATAAAAGTAAAACAAAATTGAAAAAGGGATTAAGACAGCATTTTTGCTATTTTTAGTCTCTCTATAAAAGGCTTTACCATACCCACACTGTATCCTTCCCCAAGTATTTAAAGCAGCAAAAGTCATTACTATTCTTGCCACTGTTAGGTCATTAAATGAAATGTGCTGGAAAATAGGACTCTCTTATTAAATAAGCTAATCACATTCAATCTGAGCTTTAATAAAATTATGATAAATAGCAACTATTTAACTACAGGCAACTGATAGGAACAATACCTTGCTTCTAGTTAAAATATTAAACAGATATATTAAATGAAATAATTAGAACACATTAAATTGTTCTACAAAATGCTGCAAAGAATTAAGTCTTACCTGACAACTACTTTTCTCTGTGTCTGATCAATTTTGCAGTTCACCATCTTTGTCTTTACAGCTGAAAAAAGGAAAACGATTTGAGTGATATTTTCAAGAGACAGCAAGGACATAAAATAGTATAAGCATCTTTAAACTCAAATTCATGTAAATATATACAAGTAATAACTTGCTGGATGTTACAGCGAAATAATCTGGTAGGCAGAAAAGCAAAGTGATGTAACAAGGTCATCCATGAATTCCTATGGTTTGGTGCCAATCTATTAAAGCAATATCCTGTACAGTTTTTATGAACTGTTCTCCCCTACAAAACACATCCTGTTTTAAAGACAGCAAGCAAAAACAGATGACAAATTAAACCTGCAAACAATTTATTAGTTCTATAAATGATTATTTGAAATACAATTCCGGTCACTGAAAAGAAAACACTTCTCAAAAGTCAACAGTTGGCCAAGTCTTTAAATATGATGTTTCACACATGATTTTTTACATAAATTTAGAAATACAAATTGGGGGGAGGGTTTAAACCACGTGGCTTGACAGACATGTCTACATTAAAACAAGCAGTACCTTTTCATTACTTAAGTTCTAATATTCTATAGAGCTGTGTACCCAATTTGGCAAACTGCATGTAATTTTCTCTTAAAGATAACTAAGTATCTGTATTATAAGAATGGTGTACTCAGCTTGTGTGTGTTAAACATCTGACACTCATGTAAGACCCAAATCACATCTGTTCTAAAAAATCCTAAAACAAGGAATTAGTTTTAGAATAAAAACAAATAGTCCTCATGAAAAAAGTGTGTAAAATATAAGCATGCTAACTCTTCTTACCATCAATGACAAATGCTTCTACATCATCTGCTCCAATCTGAAGTTCCTGCTGCATTGTGTCAAATGAGATTTCTTTGTTTTCCACTGCCATTCCCATAAAAGTAAGTAGTCTCATTTTTGCCATATTCTGCTCATGTAACAAGCCTGCACAACAGAGCATTGATAGTTTATGGGTATGAATTATAATTTGATAAACAAGTTTAACTATTTTCCACATTCTTTCTACTACATATGCCTCAGAATAATTTCAAATTCACTTTACATCATTTGAGTAAATGTTCCCTATCTGGCTTTATCAACATTCCTGCATCTACCTTGTGCTTTACAAAAACACCCAATTTGCTCTTAGGTTTTTCTGGACCCAGTTGTTGGCACCGAAAGTGCAGAAAAACAGAAAAATCTTGGGTCTTGATCAACTAGTGAACAGTCAGCTCACATCTCCTTGAGATGTACCAGAATTTAGATATTCCAAATCAGTTACAGCAGAATGTCAGAGGATGGGGTAGACAAAATTAGTTCAAAGTGCATCACCAGACAGAAGAGAAGCATAATGGAACAGGGAAACCCAGATGACCCTAATGGTGCCCAAGCCCCCTCCCACTGCTACAATATCCTGAACTCACATTCTCCTTGGTCCTCTTCCAGAATTCATATACCCTGTGGCTAAGACTAAAACGGAAGGTGGCTCCTTGAAAACAACTTCTCTCTTGATAATGCTCATTACTAAAAGCAGAGATTTTTTTTTTAATAGAAATATATCCTGTTGAGAAAATATATTAGCCTTAACAGGGGACTCCTCTCAAACTTCAGATAACAACGCAGGACACCTAGTGGCAATATATTCCCTGACATGCAGAAATGAAAAAATAGTAAAGGAAATGGAAACATACCTATATATAGGTACTTATATAACCCCCACCACCATAGCACAACTTGTGTCAATTGTCAGTGTATTATATTTACAACACTCCTGTGATGTAGGAAAGTGCTACTGTGCTCATCTTACGGATGGGGAAACAGGCACAGAGTTTACATGACTTTCTAAGGTCCTTCACACAGAAAGTCTGTCAGAGCAGGGAACTGAACCAGGATCTCATGAATCCCAGACCAAGCCGTAAGAACTAAACTATCCTTCCTTCCTCAAGCAAGGCCTATATATGGCCTTCCCCAACTGTCGCACCATATCTAGATATTCTTATTCAACCAATCAAGTTTTGGGGGCTAAATTCTAGAATCTGCATAAAGTTTAATTAAAATTAACTTCAGTCACTTTAATCCAGTGTAACAACACAGATATTCACACTGCTCAGTAAATATTTAAGTTTGAAATTTATAACATCTGTACCCTAATAAAAGATCAGGGAAGCACATTATTACAGGACATCATGTTGTGTTAATTAGCAATAATTATGATGCAGGCTCCCAATCTGGCACAGATTCAACAAAAATGTGATCATCATAACTCAAATGAACAAGAACCACCAGCAACTATAGCTAACTGGGTGTAATGGAAATCTACAACCATCAAAAAAATCAATTAGTGCACATTAACCCTAATTAACAAATGCAAATGAGATGCTGATTAACTTTTTGAAGCAAGAAAGGTTGCTGATAACACCAGATTAGATGTGGACATGTTAGGGTGATTCAGTTGACACAAGATAATGCTACTGTTGGCCTAAGTTGTCAGCATTAATAAAACAACAAATTGTAACAAACTGATGCCACCTGTAGGAGCCTTTATTGAATAGCTTTTACAGACTAGTTTAATTTTTAATTAGCACTGAATCCAAAACAAGATTAAAACAGAAGCAAATACTCTATTAGATGCCAAATCTTACTACTTATAATTAATTTTACTGTTATTCACACTAATATTTATAATTTCAAAGTATCATTGCTATCAAGAGGAAACAGCTAATTAAAAAAAAAATCAGGAAAATAAGTTTAAAATGAAGCTATTTACAAAATTATAGCCAAATGTTCCTGAGAGATTTCTGTATTCTTTTCTATCCCCACAACCAGTTTTTAAAAGATTTAGATTAAATGTGACCAGAAAATGCTGTTACCATTGTAATTCAAAACTACTTTTATGTGTGTGTAGAATCCTGGCCAAGATAAAAAGATTCCTTACATAATTTTCTGACAGTTCAAACAAACACCAGGAAGTGAGAAAGCTATTAAAATTGGAGATAGATTACCTTTTTTCCATTTAAAAATAATTTTCAGTAAGAAAAATGTCATTTTACAAGAATTAGCATATATTAAATATACTGAAAATCTCTACATTTTCAGATTTAAGGTATTTACTGATTAAACCTGTATATAGGAAAGGAAGCAAGAATAGTATGGATCATATTGGTGGGTGAGCATAACACAACAGATGCAAAGCATTTACTGTAAATTAATTCTCTGTATATTTCAAAAATCAGCAAAACTGCATTTTCAGCAATTATTTCTAGGAACAGACAAGCAAGTTATTTGTGGAGATTCAAATGTATGAAAAAGATGGCCTCTTTTGCACTAAGACAGTTCTATAGTCATCTGTAAGCTTTTCTGATGTTTCAAATACACTCATGCAAACAGTAGCTGTGCTCTACCCTATCTACAATATACAAAGTGTGGATATCAAACAGCAGGCTTTCTTTTGTCCATAAAATGGAAGTGCATATTGATGTTTCTAGTCATACTTTTACATTTTAATACAAAGTACCAGTGTCAAAGTTTTCAGTAAAATTATTCTCATACTACAATTCATTAAACCAATGATGCCCATGTTAGGCTGCACTAAACTATGTTTTGTTTTACAAAATTAACATTTTTCTCAAATGAGGACAGTCCTGGTATTAGTCATTTCAAAATCAAAATTATATAAAAAAATAATTTTTATGGAAACATTTATTCATTACCAATATGTCAAAACCTTAATGTAGTAATAAAAAAATCTGCATCATTGAGCAATTTCTGCATTGTCACTGACCCCTGTCCTAAAAAGCTGCAATATAGAAAACGTAATTTTACTGCATGCAATAGCTTATGAACCAGTGCTCCTTTGAAACAGTCAATTACACATCAATGGGGGAGTGTCAAAGTGTTAATTACTACTCCTTTTTTCCACAGTGTGTAAATAAAGAGGGTGCTGACATTAACATTCCATCGCATAGCTTCATGTGATGAAACAAATTAACTGGGACAGAATGTGGTTTGCCAAAGCATAATGCATCAGCAATGAACAAACATTTGCATCTCTTTATCTTATTGTACTTCACCCTTGTTATACAGCTATGTGGTAGAGTTAAATCATTTAAGCAATAAAAGTTTAGAAGTAAAGGCAGAGGAATCCTTTTTTTTAAAGGTATGAATAATTAAGTGCTCATGAAAGTACAGGACCAATAGATCCTTCCAGGTATGGTGTGGACAGATATGGTATAAGCTTCCTCAAACAGTTTTGTTAATACTCCCCAATTCTGATCTGCACAACAAACTCGAATCTGATCAGCTGAACAAGAGCCAATCACACCAAATTGTGAAAAACTGCTTAGTAAGCTCTGAATCTAGAAAATGGGGACTAAGGGATTGTCTACTCTTGAAAGTTAATTTGAAATAAGGTGTTGTGTGAATTCAGAGTCTTTTGGCTATTTCTGAATATAACTCCTTGTGTGACACTTATTTTGGAATAAAAGTGTCTTGTTCCTGTTAAGCTTAATCCACTTTCAAAGTGGGTTAAACTGAATCACGTCTGGTCTACACTGGAGGGGCAGGGGGGGAATCGATCTAAGATACGCAACTTCAGCTACATGAGTAGCATAGCTGAAGTTGAAGTATCTTAGATCGATTTACCTTGGGTCCTCCGGCGCGGGATGGACGGCCACGGCTCCCCCGTCGACTCCACTACCGCCGCTCGCTCCGGTGGAGTTCCGGAGTCGACGGGGAGTGCGTTTGGGGATCGATATATCACATCTTAACGAGACACGATATATCGATCCCCAATAAATCGATCGCTACCCGCCGATACGGCGGGTAGTTTGGACGTACCCTCTGAAAAGGCACCCTTATTCAGGAATAAAACTACTAAATTAGTTGCCATCTTGGATTTAAACAAGATGAGAGGCCAACTCTGACTGAAATATTGACCCCCAACTCACTGTCACTTCGAACCCTACATGCACTCTTAAAGCTTGTTTACTCTAGAAAGTTGCTATACCAGTATAGTTAAAGCAGTACAACTTCCCTAGTGTGGATGCAGCTCTACCGCTATAAAGGTACTTTATACCAGCTGATATAGCTATAACTAAAGCGGTATATAAGGCACCTTTCAGGTTACACTGTGTCCACATTAGGACTTTTACTATATAACTACACCTCTACCCCAATACAATGCTGTTCTCAGGAGCCAAAAAAATCTTACCACATTATAGGTGAAACTGCATTATATCGAACTTGCTTTGATCCGCCAGAGTGCGCAGCCCCTCCCACCCCCGGAGCACTGCTTTACTGCGTTATATCCGAATTCGTGTTATATCAGGGTAGAGGTATTTTGGTTAAAAAGATCACCTTCCGTAATCAAAATAGTTATATAGGCCAAACTTTAGGACAGACCAAAGCCATACTATTATCTGAATCAAAAGTTTTGCAGGGTTTATAAATACAGAACACATAAAAGATCTGCTCAGTGATTTAAAAATCTAAACAATTTCAGATGTGTATAAGAAAAAATGCTTTGGTATCAAATTATTTAAAAATTAATGCATTTTTAAAAATTCTGCATACAGAGCACTCTTCAGAAGCCAGGATGAAACCATTATGCTTGTAGACTGACTACTGGTATCAAGGCTCTGAGCCATAACAGCATGGTAGTATGGCATCCATATTTATAAGGCAGGAGGTGAGAGGATCCCTTACTAGTCTGGATGATACCCCAAACGTCACAGAAAACCAAGCCTTATAAAATGTTTTGCATTGTTTTCTTAGAGAATACACAAAAGATGTGCTCAGTGATTTAAAATTTAAATCTAAACAATTTTGATTCTGCATATAAAAAATGCTTTTGTATCAAATTATTTAAAAGTTAATGCATTTTTTGAAATTATGCATCTAAAGCACTCTTCAGCAGAAGTTGGTGAATTTTCTAAAGGTATCCCATGTTCCCAAAATGAAGCACATTCCAGGGGTGTCTTGCCAAGATGAGGGCTTCACTCCAGCACCTCAAATGTGAATTTATATTTTGTTATCCTAACTGTTTTGGAATTCTGGACAAACATATCCTTTTAAAGCTCAATTTCTGATGCCTGTAAGAGAACTCTCTCATTCGGTCTTATGACATACAACTTATGACAAGTTAACTGTTCAACTACCTCAATATAAAAAGCGTAACGTGTCACAGTAACTTTCTCCCCCGTCCCCTGCTGTTATTCATTGTAATTATTATGTAACTGACATTGCCAGGTTATTGGGAGAAGTTACACGAGCACTAATGTAATGAAGTAAAAGCTATGGGATTATTTTGTAAATGTATAACTATTCAGAAGAGTGCAGAGAGAAGAGTTAGCTCTGCTCAATAATTCTTTGTGCTCTGTAACCCATTTTTAAAATGCGTTCTTAACGGAAGCTGTCAACCCTTTAGTACACAAGCACAAGCCACACTGCATTAAAAAAATGGAACACAGGAATTACTATACTGAATTAGGTTATTGATGGATCTCATCTGGCACCACATCTCCATCAATGACCAGCAAGAACTGCTTCAGAAGAAGGTGTAAACCCTTCAAAAACTAACAATTATGCAATAACATGCCCCTGGAGTAGCTTATTCCTAACCCCAGGGAGCTGTTTTATGTCCCGCAACATGAGGATTAAATTTCCCTTTGAATTTTTTTATTAAAGCTATAGATGCTCTTACGGATAAATGTCTAATACTTGACGCATTCTTGTGGCAGTGAGTACCACAGATTAGTTGTGTGGTTAAAAAAATTTTTATTTGCTTTTATGTTTTTTAAAATTGGTTTCATTTTAATTTGTTTGACTGCCCGCCTACATTTGTACTCATTTATATTATATGCTTATTCTCATTTAAGAAACTGGAATCCTAATATTTCAGCCCAATCTATCTTCTACAATAAGGGAGTGGAACACAGTGTATGCTTTGATGCATGGATTGTATAAAAAATTAAGTGAATTAAATGTCAAATTTAAACAACCTTTTATGTATCTGGCCCTCTCCATAACCATTTAGATTCTCAAGACCAACTGGTTTGCTTGAAAACATCCGTTCCTTAGCTGAATATGAAAAAAAATGACACTGCTTTGAAGCTTCATAGTCATTACTGAGATAACTATCCATTTAAATCATACTAAGACTTTACTTGACCATCACAAAACTAATATAAGTTTTCCTCCTCTTAAAGCCACCAGACAATTAGTTGTTTATGCTCAGGAACAAGTCTATTTTCTGACCCCTATTCAGGTATTTAATTACTACACTGATACTTCATAAATTTTAGTTTGCTTCGATTCAGCTTAGCACTATCATATGTAAACAAATGTTTAAAGCAGGGGTAGTCTATTTTTTGTCAAGGTCCAAATTTCTTGGTCAAGGTATAGTCAAGGTCCAGACTCCAAAGAAAATAATAAAACAATAATGATAAGAAGTAGTAAATAAAAAGATTTCGGGGTCCATTCAAAAGCATCTGGTGATCCGGATTCGGCACACAGCCTGCCTATTGATTACCACTGGTTTAGAATGTCACAAATTTCAAATTCTTGTACAACAGAGAAGTGTTACCAACAGGTTTTTTAAGGACTCCATTACAATTATACCTAATTACAATTAACACCACCTATGAAACAGTACCTGAATAGTAGATAAAAGAAATCAATCAAAAATGTATTAAAGCAAGTACCAGGAAAACGTATTAAGATGTCTGACATGGGATTGCTTGTACATGAAGTTGACAAGCACAGTATTTGCTGCTAGAGAAAGGAATGTATGAGCTCAAGACAAACTGTAGCCTTGTCGCAAGACGGATGGCTAGCTAAGAGTCTTAACCTCAATGAATAAAAAACTTGTGGCAAAGGCCCCGAAGTTTAAACTGGGGTGAGGAAAGGAGACAGGTAATATTAACTTGTTCTAGCTAAGAATAAGCCACAATTAAATGTACCTCCAAAGTCATTGAGAAAGACTTTCTAAATACACCTCTACCCCGATATAACGCTGTCCTCAGGAGCCAAAAAAATCTTACCGCGTTATATGTGAAACTGCATTATATTGAACTTGCTTTGATCCGCTGGAGCATGCAGTCCATCCCCCCCACCCCCCCGAGTGCTGCTTTACTGCGTTATATTCGAATTGGTGTTATATCGGGGTAGAGGTGTATCTATAATTAAAGCCTAGTATCTGTTAAGTTCAGTAGCCATCTGCCTCTTTGTGGACATCACTTTACTCTCTATACACATAAACCAGTAAGCTGTATTGTAGGGCACAGGCAGGACAGGGAAGTGTGCCACAATTTATAATTCTACAACAGTTGTCAAAGCGCAGACACTGAGCATAATAAGGGATGCCAGGCAACTTTTAAAATTAAAAAGAAAAAAGATTAAGCTTTGAACCGACTGAGCAGGGAAGGCCTTTGAAAGTTCCAATCCAAAGCCATGGAAAGAGTACTAGAAAGTCAGAAATGCAATCATTTAAAACTTACCAAGCGAGTCAATGAAGTCTTTGTTGTTCTGATAAAACTTGACGTAGGATGCTAATTTTGCACTTACAAAAATAGTCAAAAGCTAAAGAGAAGAAGGAAAACCTCAAATATAAAAACAGTTTAACTAAATTTCATTACAGTCAAACTGAACAGGTACCTCATGAGCATTTGCACTGAAGGCACATGAAAAGATCAGATGCAGTTTAATGAATCTCTCTGAATGTACTTACAAAATGCAAATGGCATCAGAAAAAAAAAAAAAGAACGAAGTTAACCATTTAGGGCCAACATTTGCCTCTAGATAATGACCACTCACTAACTTCAAAATGGACAATTTGTCTTGAGCTTGTTTTCCCAGGCCCTACTTCTGACTTCAAAGGCAGTTGGTGCCTATGTATCTAATGGCAAAATTTGGATCTTAGTGACAAGATTTCCTTACCCAAAGTGCACTTGCTTTAGTGATTATCTGTGAAGATCATATTCATCATCTTAAATTAGAGTGTACCTTGTTCTTACAATTAGTCTAAGGAAACAAATTGCAAATAATTTTGTAAATTAATCCCTTGCTCAAGCATCTCTTGCAGTCCAATGGTCATTGTTCCTGCATAGGATACAGCTGAAGTAAGTCAACTTCAAAAATAGATCAAATCAACGAAGAAGAAAAAAAAAGCCCAATGCAGGAGATGTCAAAACAACTTGTCTGAAAAACAAAGTTACTTACATCATGGATAAGTTCTCCTTCCAAAAATTTCACTGGTTTTAAGGCAAGAAGGTGGTCGAAGAGAAAGGTATTTGGGTCCTTCAGTGCTCGGACAATACATCTAGTTAGAGAAGGAAAGTACACATGGGTTACAATAAATAAATGCACTGCCAATTAAATTATAATAGAATTTAATGTGCACTTCCACAGTGCTTTCTAGTGAATCTCAAAATGCTTACCAAGTTATTCATAAACAATAGGCTCGCATCACCATTGTGAATATGGAAGTATTTTTAATCCCCATTTTAAAGAAGGGGAAAACAAAGTCTCAGTGATTTGTCCAATATCATAAAGAAAACCTATGTCAGAGCATAAAAAGGAACCAGATCAAATCTTCCTAACCTGTGCTTTAGCTATACGCTTGGTTTTTATTCCCTTACGTAATTTAAATGATTAAAGATGGGTAAATTATCTTTAATATCACCTATAAGCTTCATAGAACCAAGTCACTTTGGGAAGATGGATTAGACTCAGACATGTGACACAAAGCAGAACAAACACCAAGAACTTAAACATACTAAGGTTCATCGTTTACTAGTTGCAGCTAAAAACTTTAAACAGTCCTATAAAGTTTCTATAACTCCTGAAAAACACTTTTTGTTAAACTGCATGCTTAGTAATTATATTTACAGGAAAGTAACCAACTTTTAGGATAGTATTAATATTACACTAGGGCTTAGCAGACCCAACAGATTGTGATCCCATTGCATCAGGCACTTTTCATTTACTGTAAAAGACACATGCCTGGAAAAGCTCTCAGTCTGAAAAAACAAGACAAATAAAACAAGTGGAAGCAAAGAAGTATTAGGATTATCCCACTTTACAGATAGAGAAGTGAGGCATAACAAAATTAAGTGACTTGCCCAAGGTCACACAGGAAGTCTGAGATAGAATGCCTTAACCTCAAGGCCACCCCTCTCTTCACAACACTGCTAACAGGTAACAACAAAAGTACTTGGCCACCAGACTATAATACACAAGCGGAAACAAGTATTTGGTATGATAGTTTGGTCTGCAAGTCTTTAGGGTATGGTTTTTGTATGTAGATATGGGTATTTGGTGCTAGTAAGTATGCAAATATTAATTCAGTAATATAACCAGATCTGCTATCAATGATTACAGTTAAGATTGCCTAACACTCTCCATTATGAAAACTTATTTTCAGATGCTCTAATTTTGCCAAACTTTAATCATTTTTGCTGAAAATCCCCATGCCAGGTCTCTTCCTCAGACTGAATCCCTCCCCTGCCCCCCTATTTCAGTGAAAACAGTTCAGCCATTTTAGAAAACAAGATTAAGAAAAATAGACAGTTTTGACAACGTTATCCCCCCAACCCAACTGTTTTGTTGATAAGCCCTAGTATTTCTATGCTTCGGAACAAGAACTTGAAACATGGAAGAGGAGAACCTTAGGGTCAGGGAGGTGCATTTCTACTGTTCCTGTGAAAACTAACAGAACTGGCAGAGTTAAAAGACTGAAAAAAATCACAATTTGCACATGCTCAGTAGAGCTTGTTAGATAGTGCTAAAATCTCCAAACATTCTAACTAAACTGAGCATGCTCCTAGTCTCCCCACTGAGCATTTTGGAAGGCAGAGACCAAGATGGGTTGGGCTGGAAATCAGGAGGAGACCATGAGTTAGTTCTGATAGTTATTAATTCTGTGCACTTTGCAGCCATTATTGCTGAGCAAGGCCTCACATCTCTAACTTAAGAGGCAGTCGGGCAACATTCACTCATTTTACAAATAAGGTAACAGGTACTTTAAAAAAAAGTTTGCTTTTTAAGAGAGGGGGAAATTACATAAAAATGCTACTTTAGAAAAACATTAAAGTTGAAAAGTCAAGCTCTCAAGAGTTAGAATTGCCAAAATCAAAGTTTTGTTGCAAGCTTAATTAGGCCTCTCACACGTGCTACAATAAGTCTTTAATTACATGATCACGTGCTGTTTGTTCTACAGCATCCTTTAACCACATTCTAGGTCAGATGTGGGCAAACTACAGCCCGGGGGCCACATCCGGCCTGCGGGACCATTCTCCCCTGCCCCTGAGCTCCTGACCCGGGAAGCTAGCCCTCAGCCCCTCCCCTGCTGTTCTCCCTCCCCCGTAGCCACAGCTCACTGCGCCACCAGTGCAATGCTCTGGGCGGCGAGCTCCTGGGGCAGCACAGCTGCAGAGCCCGGCCTGACCCGGTGCTCTGTGCTGCACAGTGCGTGGCTGACTCCAGCCGTGCGGCGCGGCTGCCTGTCATGGTGCAGCCGTGCCGCTACCAACCGGTGCTCCAGGCAGCATGGTAAGGGGACAGGGAGCAGGGGAGGGGGGTTGGATGGAGGGGGGTTGGATAGAGGGCAGGGGAGTTCGGGGGGATGGTCAGGTGTGTAGATAGGGGTCGGGGTGGTCAGAGGGCAGGGGAACAGGGGGGTTGAATGGGGGCAGTCAGGAAGGAGAGGAGGGGTTGGATGGGGCGAAGGGAGGCAGTCAGGGGTGGGGTTTCCGGGGGCGGTCAGGGGACAGGGAGAAGGGGTGGTTGGATGGGGCAGGGGTCCCGGAGGGGCAGTCAGGAAGGAGAGGTGGGGTTGGATGGGGGGGTTGGATGGGGCAGGAGTCCTGGAGGGGCCGTCAGGGGCGAGAAGCAGGGGGGGTTGGATAGGGGGCAGGGGCCGGGCCATGCCTGCCTGTTTGGGGAGGCACAGCCTCCACTAACTAGCCCTCCATACAATTTCTGAAACCCGATGCAGCCCTCAGGCCAAGAAGTTTGCCCGCCCCCGTTCTAGATGAAGGATTTTCTAGTGATCCATAGTGTGGTGATCCATGTAGTAGCTCCTGTTAATATTCTAAATTTAAATAACTTTACTGAGTAGATCTGAGGGAGTCCCGAAATGTAATGTTATCACATACATCAAAAGTTTTTGTTAGCTTTTATGTATGTGTGACCAAAATGTTTAAATCTGTGGGTACTCACAGAATATGGGCATGGGGTGACCTATTTGCTCACACTCTCCAGAAGATGTTAGGGTTCAATTCATTTAAACAAAACTGAACTACAGCATCCACTGCAAAAAATTAACTTCCTCAATTTATTGTATAAGAGTCAATGTATGGTAATTTACTCAGTAAGAGCAATGAAGGTGACCAAAAGGTACTATTTAAAAGTATCCCATAACAATAAGACACAGCACTGAATGAACTCAATAGCAAGGATGACACTTTTCACAACATTTTGAATATAGCCTTTATAACCTTGTGGGAGAGATAGCTCAGTGGTTTGAGCATTGGCCTACTAAACCCACGGTTGTGAGTTCAATCCTTGAGGGGGCCATTTAAGGATCTAGGGCAAAAATCTGTCTGGGGATTAGTCCTGCGTTGAGCAGGGGGTTGGACTAGATGACCTCCTGAGGTCCCTTCCAACCCTGATATTCTATTCTATTCTGAACCTTCTTTCCGTGTTATCCAAAGCCATGGAATGGTGTCTTGTTCTCCATGAGACCTCCCAACATACCCTCTTGGGAGTGGGGAAGGCTCAGAAAAATAGCCTTTTATAAAAAGTAGATCATTTTAAAGCGTATTTCATATAAAGTAACCTTCGTAAAACCATTCCCTCTGCTGCCCACAAGTACTTCCTGACCTCTAACCCTCTAGCAACAGGCCAGCACAATCCTGTGTGGTTTGAGACCAACAGAATATTGAAAGGTAGGAAGACTTCCAGAGGAATCAGCTGAACATGCTTTGTGGGGTTTAGCGAAGTTTTGGCATTTAAAAGTCAGTTGTGCATCTGACTGTTCAATGCTCTCATTATTTGGGGCGCTCAGCACATAACCATACAATTACTGCATTACAAGTCACCTTCAAGGAAATCCAAGAGTTTCATATTACCTGTGAGCATCAACTCTAGCCTGGGAAGCATTATCCTCTGTGTAACTTCCCAACAGTTCCACCATTACTTTGGCTGCAGAGTCACTATGGGGGGAAGGGAGAGAAAAAAAGTGTTACCTCAGGAATGCTGAAAAATAATTACAAGCTACTCAGATATTTAAATAACTCCACTATGAAGTTATAGTTCACCTGAAATTGTATTTGATAGGATGTGGATGATCAGTTTTAATTGCAGTGAAGAGGACAAATTAGCTAAATGTATTCATTCAATTGTGGTTTTACAAAATGTTTATCTTCACCCTTCATTTCATTCTCTTAAATTGATAAATTAACTGCTAGTTGTGGAAAGCTTTCCTAGCTGGGAACCACTTTATGTGATTCACTAGAATACTCTTCTTACACACATCTGGATCTAATCACTGCAGAATAAGTAGTACTGCACAGTTTACTTCAAAATGCAAGATGGCATATTTAAAGATCATTTATGGTCAGAAAAGTGACTATGTAAAAGCAGCACCTTCTTACTTAACAGATCTGTTCTGTGAGCATTCAGAATGACATCTACTGACATTAGTGTCAAAATTAAGTTTTTACTACATTTTGCTCCTGTAAACCTAGCAAAGTGAATAAAGCTGAGAGTGAGCCAGATTGTTCTCTCACTCACATTCACACAATTAAGTTCCAATTGCAAAATTTTTACTATTGGTCATGATGTGGAAGTCAGAAAGAACTCAGCTTTGGTTTGCCAGGCTTACTTTTAGAAAAAATCTTTACAAGTAAACTGAGTAAAACTTGATATGGAAAGCTGTGGTCTTGTCTACATTGAAGGTTTTGGTGGGGGTTTTTTGTGTGGGTTTTTTTACAACATCCTACCAGTGCTATCAACAATGGAAATGCTACTGCAGACCAGTTCCTAATTAGATGATGGAGTAGTAAACACACCAGTGATTGATGTACATGCTAGTGATTTCACCACTGCTAGCTGTAGTGAAGCCACCAACTGCAGGAGGTTTCACAAAAGCTTCAGCATAGACCAATATAATACCATTTCTATAGTCACCTTTCAGAAGGTATAACTACACTATCAAAATAAGAGACTAGCGGTTTTCCACATGGACAGAAGGTTTGACCTTTTCTTTAATGATGCAAACTTTCTGAATGAGTCACTGAGACCTGGACAACATTACCAATAACAGAATTTAACCAGTTTTGTGTTCTCTACCCATAAAATCACTAACAAGTCTCTCCTGGAACTATCTTACTACTTGCTTTGAAGGGGCTAATCTACATTTGGAACCAAATCTCAGTCAGGAGGATACTAATTCATGCACTTTTCTGAAAAGTGTCTAATACGTTCATGAAAAAGATTCCTTTTCCCTTCCTTCCCTCTACACATAACACCGGGGCTCCCTTCACTATCAGCTCTATTTTGCTTGTTAGTAAGAAGCTCAAACTGATTATTCTAACCTTCAGAGTGTCAGAGTATTTTTGTAACATGAAAATCTGAACATTTCCTTTACAGCAATTCCAGGCACTGTGGATTTCCTTCTGTGATCCATTAGAATATCTGCAAATTTGTTCTTAAATGAAACGAAGTAGACTTTTATGAATGGAAAGCCTCAAATTGCAATCTTTAGCAGTATAGTCAGCATTTAACTAGTTACATTTAACCATGAACTCTGAACAAGACACAAAGGGCAGAAACCAAGTGATCAATCGTAACCATCCCTGGCAGTGTTGTGATACCAGCCACATATGGCTAGCCCATAGGGGGCTCAGGTGATAGGTGTTTTAGTATTTTTATAGCACTGTTCTTTTTTGCATTATGTTATTATTAAGGAAAATAATATTCAAGAAGACACCTTGCAAAGCTGCCACTTATCACAGCCTCTATAAGAAGAGGCTTCAAGCTCCCACAGAATTCTGGCATGATGGAAAGCAAGAGATAGCTGATTCAATCTGGAGATGGATCAAATGGGAAAACATCTCTTTTGCCCAAGGTGTTGTGTACGCAGCGGAATCTGTCCCAGAACTGCTATTGCTGCAGAATTTTGTTCCATGATCAAAGCTTACTTTAAAAAAAAAAAAAAGCCCTTTATGGTTGTGAATACAGTTGGTTCACCTTTGGAAAATCAACTGATGAAGTGCTGTCTACATAAGGGCTAGTCTACACACAAACTTGCAGCAAAATAACAAAAGACATTTACATGAACGTCTGCGTGTGAACACTTATTTTGGAAGACAAGCGGTTTAAGTTGTTACAGCCAATATAGTACCTGTTTGCATGTAGACTAGCCCTAAGGCAGTGTCTACATTAGAGATTTTTGCACTGGCAAAGGTACACCAACGCAGTACACAGCATAAACCTCTAGTGAAGACACAATGAACCAATTTAAGATGAGGTTTACTGTGCGTAGACAACCTGAAATAATGGCCGAGAAGCATGAACTGCCCCATGCATCTCAGAAAGCTGCTACCTATAAAACCTAGTTATGAAAATGTAGGCCTTGCCTTCACTGCTAAAAACGTACGTTTTTACTAAAGCACATGAAAGATCGTGAGATACAGACTGAAGACTAGATACTTTAGTTTTAACATCGGGCAAACTTGCTGAGGTCAGCCCTAGACATGCATCTATTTTAGCAGCAAAGACAAGGACTCAAATGTCAACAATGTTAACTATTTCATCGCTGATCATTTTAGTAGACACATCCAGCTAGTGTGTTTATCTCAAACTGCCTCCTACAACTTCCCAGCTGCCAAAAGCGCTGACATTTTCCACCCACCTGCCAAGATTTCCAGTTTCTCCACTGATAATTTATTTTCATTTCTGCAGCACTTTGAAAGTGAAAAAATTAGAAACTAAACTAAAATGAAAACTCACGAAAAATACTGTTCTGGTTGTAATATTTTCATATTTAACAAAACTATTTTGAATTGATCTGATCTGCTGCAGAATTTAGGACAAGCCTTGCTCTTACCCTTGCTATAGGGCATTTAGCTCATTTTAGAGAAAATATTTGCTGCTCACTTTTTAGAAAACAAAGGAGTTTTCACTCCGTACTTCCAGAAAATGTCAAATTAAGAATTTCAAGAAATTAAACTCCCCTCCCCTCCAGTCTTTTACATTCCCTTAGAACAAGTATTGCAGACATTTCTGCCCTATTTAATTCAGTTCAATTTTGGATGCTGAACGTGGCAACATACGTGGCAACATTTTATAAAAGCTCTCTACTATGCCATATATCTCCTGTGTTATGCACACTTGTATTTTTAATATTCTTCTAGCAAGACAGCCCAGGCAAATACTTTCAGCTTCACTGGCCAATCTAAATGTATGATTAGTCAAAAAGTCAATGGGAAGGAGGTAGCTGAAACCAGGTATAATAGAGAGGTGAGAAGGGGAACAGAGTATACAGGGGAGGTTAAACAAGATTTGGAAATCACAAGTCCCTTTAGATTTTAAAAATTCAGTGGGAGGATATAACTATTGATCTTGCAAGATCAGTGCTGAGTACTTCCTTGGGAGCACCAGCAGACTGGAAGAGAAGAGAGTCTGCTATGCCTAGCAGTTTCACTCTGCTACAGCTGGGAAAGTGCTATGTGCAGCAGCAACTAAGGCACCAAGCTCTACTGGACAATCTCTGCAGGAAGAAGCACAAAGAACAGTGGGGAAAAAAATCAGCTACCAATAAAGACCTCAGAAATAAGGCAACCCCTGCCATCTTCCAATTTTCCTCAGTTCACTGTGGAAAAATTAATATTGTTTTCTTACTCCAAGGACTCCCGATGATTCTTGAACATTAGAAATAGAAGACTTCCACCAAAAAGTAGCAGGAGAGGACTCCATAAAGCAAATTCTCACTTATTACTGTGGGATGGAAGTGTGCATGTTTAACATCTGTATCTAAAGTAGCCTTCAGAAGTTACTGAAACTGTACAGTCTATGGCCATGCACTATGGAAGATCCATTAGCTATACATATCAATCCATCTTACAACAGCCGGTGAGAAATCAGAAAGTTAATAAATAATTATTTCTCCATGTCCTTTGTTTATAAACAGACAAAGTAATTGAAGTATGTCTTTATCACTTCATTTTTCCATTCCCATTTATCTTTTCATACTGCTAGGTCTAGCAACATTCCTGAATGCTAAGGCTGGAATGCTGCTTTGAGTTTCCCAGAGTATTGCAGATAGTGCCTGCCCATTGATCCAGGAGAATGATCTGGGTCAAAGGTCACTCCTTATTTTCCTTCCCCTAATAAGAGTAAGATGCTCTGAAAAATCGTCCTATTGATTGCAAACTCTGCACTGACCCAGATGGTAGCACCATGCATGTAGGAGTTTGTGAAAAATATTTTTAATACTTAACTCCATAGTGCAGATATTTTTATTATTATTATTATTATTTTTTTTTACAGTTTTGGTAGAAAAGTGGAAAACATTACCAAAAACAAGACAATTTAAAGAAAATTAATTCAGATACAGATTTGATAACTAGCCAAGTTAGAAAACAGTTAACTGTTTAAAAGACACAACTGGAGCCAATTTGTTAACTTCCTCTTCAATTCAAAGATCTACAGGTGGAATTTGAAAACGATAATGGAAAAGCAAGCTAGTTCAATTGCAAATAGCTTTTCTTTTAATTAGATGACATAAATGGATGATGCTTTTTATCTTGGTTTATTTTTAACAACATTTGTAATAAGCTAATTATTGTTTTGCTTTAGAAAAACATAGGGCTCTATAATTCAATTGGTGGAATAAGAAGTTTTTATAGAGTAGAAATGTATATTAACTTAGTACTTTTCAAACAAAGCATACACTCTTCATTACATACAAGGTCTTTGGTTAACCTCTCAAAGAATGTGTAAGTATTATTTTGGCCACCTGAGAGCTGCTATATAGTCTCATCAGTGCAAAAGTATTCTAGTGAAAATGGCTGAATGAGTAAGAAGTTGAATGAAGGTTACACCTCAGATCTTTGGCTACAGTGAAGACAATTTTACACCACAGTATCATTGTAAATCATCCCTGATACCAGCTTAGCCACTCTTGGGAGCCTTACCCCAATTTAGGGCAGGATCCCCTGAGTGAGAGCCAACATAGCCATTTCCCAACATCCATGACCAGTGGAACCCATGAGTAGTTGATCCCTGTTTGCCATATGTGAAATCTAGCAGTTTATACAAACCATTCCTCTCAACGATTTATTTAAATACAGTATTTTTTTCCCTCTTGCAGCAGGCAAGTAGCAAAAACCACAACAACCATGCTGCCCTTCCAAAAAGCTGACCAAAACCTCAAACCTTTATTAAAAATATTTTAATAACCTCAAGTCCTTTTTAATTAAGTGAGGGGAAGGAATACCAAAAGTGTGTGCATGATATTCTGACATGGTGTCAAGTATCAGGGGGTAGCCATGTTAGTCTGTATCCACAAAAACAACAAGGAATCGGGTAATATTCTGAGGGGCTGTGATAATAAGCATATTAAAATAAGATGCCTGCTTGTCCACAAAGATAAAGAGGGTTGTCCATCTACATAAAGGATGTGAGGAGTGTTAAAACCATACCAAAAATCCTGAAACTGTTGTGTAACAATTCCTTATTTAAATCTGAATGAAAAAAGTTTACTTTTGTTAAGGCAAGGTTTGTGCCTCTTGTTTATCCTTTCTTATCTGTAAATGTAAAGAGTTATGCTGACGTGTGCAAACAAAAGCTGCTGTCAATTTATTAACACTAAAATTAATTTGCAGGTAGACTGTACAGAATTACATGTCAAATTACTTTGGTCAGCCTAGTTCATTAGATCAAAGACTCCTATTACGGTCCCCAATGAGATTTTTAAACAATTCAGCAGGTATTATATTAACATTAATTTCCATGTCTAGTGCAGAGCTTTGTCTCAAAGGTAATGTTTATAACAGCAGACCGATTGTGATAACTTTGATTAATAGACATCCCCCACACACACCAACTGAACAATAGAGATGGCACTACACGGATTTAAAACATCAAAGCTCAATTAAATAATAAATTTGGCATAATGCTATCATTTCTAGAAGGAAAGCAAAAGTTTTACTTTTGTAAGTTTATAGCTTTCAATCAACCCACTACTAACTTTAGTATCTTCTAAGACGGGGTGGGCAAACTTTTTGGCCCTAGGGCCACATCGGGTACAGAAATTCTATGGAGGGACAGATAGGGAAGGCTGGGGGAGACTATGCCTCCCCAAACAGCGAGGCGTGGCCTGGCCCCCACCCCCTATCCAGCCCCCCACCCAACGCCCCCGCTCCCCACCCCTGACTGCCTCCCGGGACTCCCGCCCCATCCAACCTCCCTTGTTCCCCACCCCCTGACCGCCCCCCTATCCAACCCTCCCTGCTCTCCCCACCCCACATTACCTGTGTGGTGGGGGGAAAGGAGGGCTCAGTCCTTTCCCTGTGCGTTTCCCCTGCTCGTTTGGCTGCTCTCCCCGGCAGTCAGATAGGGCTTGCTCCCTGTCTGGACTTGGCGGCTGGGAACAGGGGCCAAGCATGGTGGAGGTGGAGCGGGGCCCTGGCTTGCTCTGCCCCTGTCCCCGGCAGCAGGGCCCAGTCCCCTTGACTGCCCCGCCCCTGGAACTCCCCCTGCTCCCTGACTGCGCCACCCTGGAGCACCAGGTCTGGCAACGCTATAGCTGTGCCACCTGGCCGGAGCTGCAGCCACACTGCCCAGGCGCTGGGGGAACTGTGACTGCAAGGGAGGCAAGGAGGGAGGGGAGCAGAAGGGGAGTGGCCAGGGACTAGCCTCTGCCCCGCGCTGCCGGGGCGTTGGGCTGGCTGCTCCGCAGGCCTGTCCTGACCTCGCTCCCTGGCAGGAGCTCAGGAGCCCGAGAGAAGGGTACTGCCAGATGTGGCCCGCAGGCCATAGTTTGCCCCCCTCTGTTCTAAGAGAAAATGTTTTAACTTAAAATTTAAAAAGAGCTCTTAAATATTAGTCTAAGATGTAATAAAAGTATGTCCAGCTGTATTTGATGAGATTTAAAAGATTTACAGTAAAGAATAGTGTAATGAAAAACTATTTCCCCCCAATCTCATACTATATACTAATTTAAAACTACTGAAATAGTCTCTTATTTAACTAAACATACCTCTTCTTGCAGTCCACCAGTGCATCATATAGCAGTCTCAGAAGAGTATGTTTTTTCTCTGTGCTGAGATTCCAGTCAGAAATCCACTTTCGAACCTACATAGAAAACAATTCAAAAAGAAGTGCTACTAACGTTTTCTGAAGAGTAATCTGACTTAACTTTAGAACTACAAACACTGCCCACTTAAACATGATTCAAGCTCTCCCGAAGAGGAAAAAGAATGATGGAAAGGATCTTTCCCAGAGATCCCTGTCTGGCTCTTCTGGGTATTCACTCCACAGTCCAAAATCAGGAAAGTGCACCACTGGAGGGCCCCAAATAAGTACCTCGCACCCTCTTCCTAAAGGAAGAGAGTGGGCATACAGATCTCCACCTCCATAGTGAGGGACATCAAACTAGTGTCCCAAAGCTGGTTACAGCACTTTTTCCACACCCTGCATATTCAAACGAAGCTCAGACAGATCTGATGTGTTTAATATCAAAGAGAGTGGTTTACTTTCTAGATTGTTGTGAAGAGCAGTTTGACTTTGATTGTAGGGACAAAAACTTTTAAAAGGTCAAAAACCTCTCAATTAAAAATTTGCTTTTTATTCCAATTGAGCTTGACAATTTTTAATAGTGACAGCCACTATGTATTACCTCTGACTACCCTTTAACAACAGACGGCATACAGTTAATATAGAAAATAACTAGTGACACCACATCAATTACCTGATCTAGTTCAGTTGGAATGTACTGAATGGCACCACATGCTGAGGCCACTTTAATAAGGCTGCAGTAGACTGTGTATCTCACAGGAGTATTCTTATCCATACCATGGAAGAGATTGCTCAGCCTAAACCACAAAGAACAAATCAATTAACCCTAGCAGGTTTGGCAATTAATGAGGTGAATGTGCACAGACATCAATGTGTCCACTGACGTGTACTAGCATATAAAATCTGTCTAACCACCATTAGAGCCCAGTGTGGATACAAAATTTATATCCACAGATATAAAGCAGATATTCGCGGAGATGCAGGGCTCTAGGGGGGGCCGTGGCCAACCACTGGGTCAGGAACTGCAGCAGCAAAAGCAGCAGTATGTTGGGCCACCACTTGTAAGAGCCAGCACCCAGCCTGGGCAGCTCCTCCGGCGTGTCTTGGCCGTTCCCACCCCCATTCATTGAGCCAGGCACCAGGCTCACAAGCAGCTGTCCCTGGTTGCAATAGTGTGTGCAAGCTGCTTGCACACTCTCAGACAGGAATGTGCGAGTTAGCCACAGATGTAAATTTTGTATCCGCACAGGGCTCTAACCACCATCATCTCACTGCTAGGACAGAGATGATAATGGCTTACTGCTTTATAGCACCTTGCATCAGAGGATCTCAAAGCTCTCTAAAAACATTAATAAATTCAGCCTCAGAAGCAAAAAGGTGACAAAAAATGCAAAGGTCACACATGCACGAAGTTTCAATTGAAGCCAGTTTTCAATTCCCGGGCCTGTACTTAAAGACAAAAAACAAACCAAAACATACACACGACTATTCCTCCTCCTGAAAGGAAGGATATTTTATAAAATATTTTAGCCCCCTAATCCCTAGGGGATACTTACAGCTGCAGCCTCAGAGATGGACGCTCACCTTCCCGAAATTTTACCAACTTCTCACACAGGCTTTCAATCAAAGCTTCTTGTTTGTCAGGTTCCAGGATAAGAAGCAGAGATACTACACTGTTCATTACACTTTCAACATCTACACATAAACAAAACATGCATCAACTTAACACTGCAGGCAACAATTAGTTCATCAGTGCTAGAAATACTCCTGCCACAAATGCTTATTTTGTCTCAGCAAGACATACTGGAAAAGGGCAATTCCAGCCACAAAGGCTTTTTACAAAAACAGTTATTAAACTGGACAATATAATGTGTGTGACTGCAGCTCAGTTTAACCTGCAATTCCCTGCCAGCGTATCTCAACCCTATTTATTTTCCAGTTCTAAGGTGGAAAGAGAATTTGTTCTCATGACATCAATCTCAATATTTTATGGGAAGCCAATGTAAATTTCAAGGTCTTCATCCCTATCTTCAAACACTCAATGGCTTGGGTTCAGCACATCTAAAAGATTGCCTAAAATTTCAGAATGAGGACTGTGATCAACAACTCTGTATCTCAGGCACAATGGTACTTTATCACCAGGGTAAAGCTGATCTGCCAGAGACAAAGCTTTTTCAGGAGTCAGTCCCAGACCGTAGAACGAACTCCCACAGAAACTAAGGACCATCAATAAAGCTAATTTCCTCTGCAAGTGCAAGATGCACTTTGACTTGTCTGCTCTAACATACATACAGTGACATGTCTATACATATTCTAAAAAAAAGTACCAAAACACTACACTGCAAACACAATTCCCCCCACCACCCCATCACTCCCCTCCCGGGGAGAAGATAAGAAAAAAATAACTACATTTGACAAATGTTCATTACACTGCTTAACACACAACTGGAAGGCACTCAAATAATACAGTGATAAGAGCTGTACAAGAACCTACAAAGAATACAATTATCTTTGAGACTGCCAACAAGGGTGCCAATTAATGCCAGCCATAGTTGCAGTTTGTTCTATGGACACCTTCTCATGACAGCACAGACTCAAGAGCACCTTGGTCACTGAGCAGCCAAGAGTTTGCAACAACTTTCCATCACTATCTATACTGGAACAGCAAATCCCCTGGTTCGCCCAGTCTTTGCACAAACTAGTTTTAATCTCAAATACACTGACATCCAATAAAAAGATCACTATAATATTCCAATTCACCAGATTCATTAGAATGCCAAAATGGAGATTAGCATTCTCAATGTTTAATTTCTGGGATTAACTGTACACTCCAAAAAGCAATGTAAAAAAAAATTATTAGCTTCCCTGTGACAAGCATGGCAGACTATTATGAACATAATCTTCTCCAAATATGGCTACTTCAGTTTAAAAAAGTATGGTCATTCTGGCTATAGAATTATGGGGCCTATCCATATATTTTACATGCATTTGTCTGCTGCAAGATGCTAAATGATCAATATTCATAAATATTCATCCCAAAATGAATCCTTACCCTTTCAAATAAGACAGTCACATCAGCTATCTATTTTGTCACACCTAAAAGATATAGCCATATACAAGAATCATTTAGAATATAGGATGCACAGAAACTCAGTTAAGGCTGTCATAGTACACTTAATATTTACTGCAATTACTCCTGCATTCTGTTGAAAGGTCTCAGAAGACAATGTTAAATTTCTAGGGTAGAGTTAACTGATTTAGTTTACCCTCAACATTAACAGTTACTTGCATCAAATTTCTTCATTCTTCTTAAAGTTATGCTGCTACTTACTTGAATGGGGCCCCCTGCTCTTAACCAACAAGTCTTATTTCACCACTATTTTTTTTTTTAATGGAAATTGGTGTTGTACATGATTAATCACCCATCCCAGACACAGTCCAAACTATATTTCTCATTTCTTCAAAAGGAACTGCATGTCATCAAGAGACAGGACTGAATACAGGCACATTTTGTCTTGTTTAAACTACACACTGAAGGAAACATTTCTTTACCACTGTGGGAAATTATGCCCTATTGTGGGTTAACAAGAGCCTGTTGTACTATAATAATGTTGACACTTCTACTGAATACAGTCTGTTCATGTATGAGTCTTTATGTAGTGAAGGCCATGGAACAGGTCTCCAAACTTTGCCAACAGTTATCTGAGAGGGTGTCTGTGCAAGTGATTTATTTTGTCTTCTTTTGTGTCTGCATTATGCAGATTCAAAGAGAGGAGGGAAAGAATGGCTTAACTCCCACAGACCACTACACCATATGCCGCAGAGACTAAACACTGCCTTACATGGCCTCTAAGTCTATTTGTGAATTTACACCAGTCAAGGACAGGGTGAGTATGGTATCACATCACTTTCACTGTAGGTGAATAACCTCAGTACACAGCAGTTTCTAAGTTCCCAGCTGGGATTCTTCTATTACTGACAAAAAATAATATTCTTGTATAGGCTGGTCCCTTTAAAAATTTAGGGTGGGATTTTCAGAAACTCCCAGCACTGACCTAGCTCCCATTTAATTCAACAGGCATTTTACCACTGACTTCAAATGGGCGCAATGCTGAACACTTTTGAAAATCCTTCTTAATGCATAATGAGCTTCCTATGAGTACTACTCTCACTCTTGGTCTCTCTGCCATGCAAGTGCTCTGTGTAACTCAAGGTGACTCACAAGCTCAGTCATCATAAAGTTCCTGAGCATGCTAATCAAGAATATCCATACCAAGACTTTCAAAGACACAAACCTTTATCATCTTCCTTTAGACATACATCACAGACTTCAATAATCTGAGCCAAGTCAATGTGAAGTCCACCTTCAGAGTTCTCTTCAGAGATCTCAGCTCCTTTAGATTTCAGATAAGCTCGAAGTTCGGCAGCCTTTTAAAGAAATAAAGAAACTAATACAAACATACATACTACTAGCAACAGCTTATTGGCTGTCTTCACTTGAATGAAAAGGTGTGCTTTTAACTCAAATTAGCCAACTTGAGGTAAAATCCTAGTAAAAAGCAAGACAGTTTGTACTTTTCACACGAGTTAGCTGGTTCCCTCATAGTCTTGTGTGAAAACTATAAATACCTTGCCTTCTCTAGGATTTTACCTCAAATTAGCTAACAAGCTGAGAACACACCTCTTCCCTGGTGACAAGGCCTATACCATAACTTTATAATCCAACACTTTACTAAATGACTGAATATAAGCTCTTTGAAGCCATACATTTGTACAGCAATTAGCATCATGGGGCCCTGATCTGATCGAGATCTTTAGGTGCTAGTGCAATACAAAGATAAATGCTTTAAAAAAAAATCTTTATGTCAAGGATCAAAATTAAATAAACATGGTATTTCTTAAGAAATAACTGGAAAGTACATTTCAGAACCCCACACTATATTAAAGAGGTTTTGGATTGAACATTTGAAGAGCTGTTACTAGACAGTAGTGCACTTAGACATTCATGCCACAAATATCTAGTCTCTGTGGTTTGGGAGTATTTTCAATGTTTGTTTATTTTGCAGAACTTAAATATTTTTTAAAAGCCTTCAGAAAGTGAGCAGGTGCTAGTGTCCACAGACAGACTGAAGCAATAGCTCAAATATATGAGCTAACCCATAGCATGATAGCAATTTTAATACAAAGAAGATTGAAAGAATAAAAGATGTAAGTAACGTCATATCTCTGACATTTCTCCTCAAAGTAGGACTCTAGGGGAGGAATTAAGGAAGGAGGGAGAAATAAAAGATGTTAGAAGCATGGGATTTGGGAGGAGGGGATTAAAAGACAATATTGGATAAAATAACTAATATTTGAACTAATCAAAGACATAAGCAATTCATTACATTTAGTGTTCTAACTTATTCTAACTCTGAGCAAAGTTTATTTTAAAAGGCCTCATGGAGTTCCCAAGCATTTTAATGGAACTTTTGCAATTTCCTATTCCCACAGTCTACAGAGCTCCAGCAGGCACAAGGTTAATATATTCTAGTATTCATTTAAAGAAAATGGTATGTAACATGTTCATCAGTGCTTCACTTATTTGTTTTCTAGTCTCAGGAAATATTTTGTTTGTCTTGCAAATATTGTTTAATTTTTTAACAAAGAATGTAACACCCTATAATATTTGTAGATTAAATATCAGCAAAATGATATAAAACTGAACATTCCATTCAATACAATATATATATATATATGCTTAGTGTCATCAAGTGTTTCATATTGCTGAGCACTGTTAAAAAACTGCCTTGTTTCATTTTAAAAGATTTCAGTAACAGAATGGTACCGACAATAAAGTGCTCTAGGATCATCTGGGATAAAGAGTTATATAGCTCTGGTATATTATTAATTCTGACTTTAGAAAGGCTTTGTATGAAAAATCCACCATACCTCAGGCTGAGTGCACTGAGGTCCAGTTACAACTTCTAGCTATTAGGGTTAGGGCCATTCTGGGATGGACTGAAACTAACCACATCTGCAGTGTTGTTGTAGCCCTGTTGGTTCCAGGATATTAGAGACAAGGTGGGTGAAGCAATATCTTTCATTGGACCAACTGCCGTAGGCGAGGAAGGCAAGCTTTCCAGCCACGCAGAGCTCTTCTTCGGGTCTTGTCTTTCTCACTAACAGAAGCTAGTTCAATAAGGGATATTACCTCACTCACCTTCTCTCGCTCTGGAACGGACCAGCCGACTAAGGGGGTACCGGCATGAAGATTAGTTAACGCTTTCCAGCCCCACCCCCGTTCCGGGACAGGCCTGACGGCAGCCCAGCCCCCAACGCACGCACGGGATCGGGGGTGTCCGCAGCACAAGCGACAGGGGCGGGCGGGAGTTTCTAGTGGCTTCCTGAGCGTCCTCCCAGGCCGTTGGCAGCCAGGGCGAAGGGTCACTCAGCTCGTGCACGCCCCGGGCTCGCTGCCCCCCGCCGCTGCTCCGGCCCCTCGGCTTGACACTCGCTGGGTTTGAGTCCAGGAGGCCGGCGCCGCCGCACAAGCCCGCCCGGGACGTTGGGACACGCGGTGCGGGCCGGGGCCGGCACGGAGGAGGGGCGGCTGCATCGCCCAAATCGCGGACACCCAGCGCGGCTTCCCCGGGCCCCTAACCTGATCCTCCTCGGTGATATCGATAAAGGCCGGGACGCTCATGGCCGCGACGGCGCTACTAGCTGGCCCGGAGAGAGCACGCCACCCGCACCGGAAAGATGGTGGTACGTCACTTCCGGGACAGCGCAGAGTCCGCTTCCGGGCTATTGGCCGCTCTGCCCCTCCCCCTGTGGGTACTGGCGGACACCAGCCGGTCAGCGGCCGAACCCCAGTGCAGGGCCCGGTACCCGCGGAGACACACCCCGGCTGTACGTGGTGCGGTAGCGCCCCGGCTCTGCAGTGGTTGTGTAAAGCCCCAGCTCCTGGAGTCCCGTGAGAGCCTCCGCATCCCTTAACCGTTCTAGCCCGCAGGACAGCGGAGATAAGCGGGAAGACTTGAACCTTAGCGGCTCCAAAGGCAGAAGGAAAATGTAAACAGCCCAAGAGGCGTTGTGTGCATCGCACAGCCTTTGGGCCCTGATGGTCATTGGACACGGGGAGGTGACAGCACGGCATGCATGATTCACTCAAAGCCCACCACCAAACTAACCTTCCCAGAAGCCAAAGATATCCTCTTATCACCCCGCAAGAAAGTATAGCCCTCCTCAAAGGCTAACGCCTGTGGTGATTCTCGCTCTACTTCTGAGCACACTTTGTTCCTCTGCTCTACGCACTTCCCATCTGTAGCACCACAAAGTCACAAATGCCTCCTCCTGACATTAGCCAAGCTGGCAATAATCAGTGGAGCAGAAGGATGTTCAGTGAGGAGATTCTCGTGATTGTGGTGCCTTCCTCCATTCCTTGGATCATTCATGCATCTGGACCTGGTTCCTCTGCCGGGCATCCACTGACACCTTTGCAGAACAGTGAGCATTGTCCCTTTCCAGACACCATCCAGTTCCTGCATTTTGTATTTATGAGTCATGACACCTGTCCCTATTCTCAGTTTTGTAATCCCAAGTAATTAGTTGATTTCTGGGCTCAGTGGCTCCTCTCTCTTATGAGGTGGTGGGTCTTTCATTTTGGTGGACTTATGCCTACCCTTCTGAGACTTCAAATAGGCCCAGAACATAAGAACGGCTGTACTGGGTCAGACCAAAGGTCCATCTAGCCAAGTATCCTGTCTACCAATAGTGGCCAATGCCAGGTGCCCCAGAGAGAGTGAACCTAACCGGTAATGATCAAGTGATCTCTCTCCTGCCATCCATCTCCACCCTCTGACAGACAGAGGCAGGAGACACCATTCCTTACCCATCGTGGCTAATAGCCATTAATGGACTTAACCTCCATGAATTTATCCAGTTCTCTTTTAAACGCAGTTATAGTCCTAGCCTTCACAACCTCCTCAGGCAAGGAGTTCCACAAGTTGACTGTGCGCTGTGTGAAGAAGAACTTCCTTTTATTTGTTTTAAACCTGCTGCCCATTAATTTCATTTGGTGGCCCCTAGTTCTTGTATTATGGGAATAAGTAAATAATTTTTCCTTATCTACTTTCTCCACATCACTCATGATTTTATATACCTCTATCATATCCCCCCTTAGTCTCCTCTTTTCCAAGCTGAAAAGTCCTAGCCTCTTTAATCTCTCCTCATATGAGACCCATTCCAAACCCCTAATCATTTTAGTTGCCCTTCTCTGAACCTTTTCTAGTGCTAGTATATCTTTTTTGAGATGAGGAGACCACATCTGTACGCAGTATTCAAGATGTGGTCGTACCATTGATTTATATAAGGGCAATAATATATTCTCTGTCTTATTCTCTATCCCCTTTTTAATGATTCCAAACATCCTGTTTGCTTTTTTGACCGCCTCTGCACACTGTGTGGACATCTTCAGAGAACTATCCATGATGACTCCAAGATCTTTTTCTTGATTTGTTGTAGCTAAATTAGCTGCCATCATATTGTATGTATAGTTGGGGTTATTTTTCCCAATGTGCATTACTTTACATTTATCCACATTAAATTTCATTTGCCATTTTGTTGCCCGGTCACGTAGTTTTGTGAGATCTTTTTGAAGTTCTTCACAGTCTGCTTTGGTCCTAACTATCTTGAGCAGTTTAGTATCATCTGCAAACTTTGCCACTTCACTTTTTACCCCTTTCTCCAGATCATTTATGAATAAGTTGAATAGGATTGTTCCTAGGACAGACCCTTGGGGAACACCACTAGTTACCCCTCTCCAATGAGGTGGTCTTTTGGTAAAGTATGAAGTGGGAGAGCACTCCTTCAGTCTTGCCAAATTACTGACCCCAAATTTAGGAGGTATTCAGTTTTCAAGTTGGTTTATTTAAATTAAAATGTATTTAAAGAATTCACAATCAATAGCATGACACAGTTTCAGGATCATCTGCAACATAATTTAAGGGTTCAAGATGCCTGATAATGTGGTACAGAATTCTGAGATGGTCATAACCAGTCAATATAACATTACAGACTGCTGAGATGGAGCGTTACTGCTTTACAATTTTTCTTCTTTTTTCCCAACCTCTTCCCTCTGGCCATTTCTAAGTGGGGAGGTTAAAGAGCTCACTGCTGCCTGTGTACACTATTCCTATTAACCAATCTTGGTTAAACAGGATTAGAGACCCAGATCCTCAAAGTTATGTAGGAAATCAGTAGGAGTTAGGCACCTAAATACCTTTGAGGCTCTGTGCTAAAGTGGATACCTATTCCAGTGTCTCTGATGTCCTCCTGCCATCATTCTAATCCTACCTAAGCGCTCTTTATCTATCTTTCACAAGACTACTATTCTATAGAGGCCACAATCTTCTGTTCTTGGCCCTCTGCTCTTTTGAACCTTTTGTTCTTTTCTTGCTTGTCTTTTTGCCATTATAGCTACCATTTTTGTACTGATCATATTAAAGTATATGTGTCTTTTGACTCCTTTAGTTTTAGAATTCATTTTAATGTTTAGTAATCTTTTGTAACTAATAAACAATACTCTTCTGCTTATAGGTGCAAAACTGGTTCAGGAGGGATACTATCTACAGAGCTGAAAGATGATCTCATGATACTTGTCATGACAAACAAGAAATCCAACTGTACAGTAAGTTGCTGAAATTTAATCCTTCCCGGGGGTAAAATCCTGGCTAGAAAATCAATGACAAAACTCCCATTGTCTTCAGTAGGGCCAGGATTTCATCATAACTCTTGATAAGCCTCTTGTGCTCCTCTTCTTTGTTTTTGCTATCAATTTATTTTTTTTAATTTCATTGGTTGTTGGTAGGTTGGTACTGAATAGATACACAACGAGGCAACATTACATTAAAAACAAAAGCAACAACAAAAAGCTCTACCAAAACAAAACACTTCACTGCATATACAATTCTCCTACTTGGGAAAGGATGAGAAAACAAATGGTATCTGACTGATGTTAGTCACATTGCTAATTGCACTTCTGGAAGGTGCCCTGATACCACACTGATGAGTGTCATATAAGAACCTATTTAGAATATCTTATATAAAATACTTGCTAACACTCAGAAGAATGTGTATATTTTAATCATTCATTTAGTCTATGGTTGAGCTGACGATGCAAAAGTCAGATCCAGAAATGGATTGAAAACACTCAGAGTTCTGAGGTTTATAGGGATTTTGGTTCATCCCATTATAAAGATGGGGAAGATTAGCAAAATTCAGATTCTGATCCAGATCTGAGCTCAGACTTTGAACACTTTTTAAATATTGGAGTGATCAGTATACAGGTTTTGAGTCTATTTATTCATTATATTAAATGCTAGTTCAAAAATTAACTTTTTCTTGCCAGAAATTAGTTTCTGTATTTTTTCCCTATCAGATGATTCTCATTATATGGTAAGAAAATGATAGGAATGATTAAACTCAATACCCCAGAAGAATAAATAGTGAGGCAATGTGATTAGAACTCAGTACTGAAAGTCAGGTCTCTTGAGTTCTAATCCTAGCCTTTCCTGTGTGACCTTTCGTAACTCACTTAATCTGTTTGTGCCTCAGTTTCCCATCTGTAAAATGAAGATATTATTTAACTAACTCTGTAAAGTACTTTGAGATCTTAAGATGATATATATCTATATATCGATACACATATATCTATCTATATATATGCATTTTATAATTATTAATATTGTTCCCATTTTTATGTAGAAAAAAGTCTGAAAGATTTTTCTTTTTACATTTTTTCCCAGAGAAGTTTTTTTTCGTCTATGTTTTACATTACAAATTAAAGGTGTACCTCTTCTGTTTTTCTTGGAAAACTCTATGAACAGCTAGAGAACTAGTAGATTTATGACATTATAGGTACTTTGGAAAGAACTTGATTAACTGAGAGGGGATTTTTATTTGAAATATTAAAGTTTTAGTTTTAGTTTGTTTTTTGTTTTTATCTTATCACTCAAATTCCTATTAAGTGCAGGCAAAGCTTTCTTGTTAAGTATTCAACATATGTCCCTTTAGCATAGGGTTGAGAAAATTCTCAATCCATATCTCTCCATCGTTCAAGGGAGACCTCCAGTATACCAGGGAGACCAGGCTTGATAGTTCTCGCATTTGCAAGGTTTAAAAAAAAAGCCAAAAAATTGGGGAGGGGGAAATGAAACAACCAAACCTAGTTTTCCTTTCCTTCTCCTATTACCTTTAATAATTATTTTTATAATTCATGTTCACTAGGGGTCGGAGTGTCAAAAATGCCTACATGATTTAAGACCAAAGTCCCACTGAAAGTCTTGCGCTCCTAAATTACTTAGTCTCGTTTGAAAATCCTCCACTAGATTAGTAGCATTCTACTGTAAGCCACTTTCTTGCCTTCATTGCACTGGGAATTATAACCAACATTTAAAAAGTTACAGTATGCCTAAAATTCCAGTATGTTCTCTTCCTACATAGTGGGCAAGAATCCAGCAGAGTTAGGCAGGATTGGCCGTGAAAGGAAGGGATGCTGCTTGTGGGGCATAATTTCCCCTCCATTGACCACCCACAGAAGCCCTGAAAGGTGTGAGAGGGCAGGGCTGTGGGACAACTGCTCTCCTCCTCATTTTTCCCACCACATCTACATGCTGTGGAACCCTCCAAAACATAAGAGGAAAGGATCTGGGGGAAGCATTCACAGGAGAGACCTGGGCAGGAGCTATTCTGCCAAGGGGACAGAAGGGAACAAAGCACCCAGTATGAAAGTACTTCTGGTGCTATGATAAGTAGCCTGCATAGGCAACTATAAGGCCCCAAGATTGATAACTAGGTTAAAATCTTTCCAGTGTCTTATGTTTAATAGCAAATACCTTTTGTAGGAAGGATGTCCTGGCTTATAATTGCTTGGGAATAGTAGCTGTTAGCAAATAGTAAAGAACTTTTTCATATTCTGTAAGACTAATTCAAAACAGACATTTCAGTGAGAAAAAAAAAACAGCAATGAAATTGTTCAGTACCAGGAAAAGGGAGCTGAAGTGATTACGATACTTTTTAATGGGCATTTTGAGGTTGGTACTGCAATCCTATGTTTTGTATTGTTTACACTTGACAGTGTGAATCATTTTGCTGATTTAATGCTTGGTAAACTCTTAATTCTGATGTCAATAACTTACGGTTTTTAAGTGCAGTGCAGTCCATAATGACTGGATTTGCTTCATGCTTCAAAAGTTTAAACAATCTACAGCATGAAAAAAATATATATTGTTTTACTCATCATAGCACCAGGAGTGCCTTCCTGAAATGATAATGCTGTTTGTTGAGCAAAAAGAGGATATGGTGTTCATGAATATCTAGCCTCGAAGTTACAAACAAAACTTCAGCCTTTAAGTGGAGAAGAGCACTAATTAAAATAGCATTAAAGGTTAATGGATTCCTGTGCATGATGGATTAATTTTAACAATTGATTTTAAAAGGCTTTTAGAAACAATGACTCCTTGAATATTAATTGAATGTTTTTGAGTTTAGGAGAAAAAAAATCTTAATCCTTGTGTTGATATGTTATGCAGTAGTTAGGAAAAAGTAATAGTTTACAATGAATGACTGAGATACATTGACTTAACGAAGCCACTGCAAGTACTGTGCTTTAACAAGGGCAGATGTTATTTTTGTAATTCTGGAAATTCCCTTTTATGAAAATTTCACAATTCCCATTAAAACACAACTTCTTGTCTTCAACTTCACTTTATAAACCAGGGCTCCACCTCCCCTGCAGGAAGCCTGATTAATTTATCTTTGCATGGGGAATTCTGTGCAACCTGAGGGGAATGCAATCTACAACTCCAGTCTGTGGGAATACTGTGGACCTGCAGAGCAGAGGTCTGCAACCATTGCTCTAGTCTGTGTGCTGGAATACTGGCTGAAACTCCATCATGCCCCTATCAGGAGTTTTGGATAATTGGATCACAGTAACCACAGATACCATGGTTTTGCCCTGAACATGTTCTCAACAGATCACTATGTCCCAACCTATAACAATTTTTAGAAACTGAAATATTTCTAAAGTTCTTTGTAAAATGTGTGCACATACAAGAAAACATCATTTTCAAGCTCAGACCATTAAAACCTTTATACTGTGTCTTGTCACACTATCATTTATTGTTGTATATTCCACATATTTTACGGATAAACTATTTTAGAAATGTTTTAAAGAACATAAATAGTTTTTACTAAATCATGACGATTGTTATCTGGTCTTTTCTTCCTAGAGATCTCTCAACCATGCACTGACCAGACTCTCATCTTGTGAGCTCTTTGAGGCAAGGATTGTGTCTGCTTACACCTTCCTGAGCCCAGTGAAGCCCTGACGCTGATCAGGCTCTTTGTGCACTAGCTTTATGTAAATAATAAATAATAATAATTAATGCCACTGGTTTGCTTTGGAGATCTGCAAGCTTCTACCTATAGCTCACTGTCACCCTAATCCCAACTTGTTATATTACTGATTTTAGCAATGCTTTTTGAAACAGTTAACCCCAATTTAAATGTATACTGAGATATCTTTGCTAAAACTACTTTCCTAAACAGCATATTTTAATATTATCTGATTTATGTTGTCATTTTAAAAAATCATATTTTGTATTTAAATAGATTAAATATTTCAAGTGACTAATGATTTTGGATGCCTCCATCTTTTGAGTGCCCAACTTGAGAAACTAAAAGGATTTTAAAGTTTTTTTGAGGATGGATGGTTAGCACTTTGAAAATCTTGGCACTACTGTTTTCATCCCAAAGCACTTCACAAATGTCTCTTATCCAGCACCACTGAAAAAAGCAGCCACCTCTGGAGAGACAGCACTGGACAACCAGTGCACAGCATGCTGCCCAGGTATGGGTGGGAGAAGGGACATATTGGCTAAAAATACTAATGCAAACCTGATTTGTCATGGGATCTTTAATTTCTGCTCTTTGCTGTGGTGATGAACCCAGATGCAGGCTCATTGTACATTATTAAATAAATAAAACAATAAAGTAACTATTGACCATGCAGTTTTAAGGTCTTCTCTGAAATACTCATACACAGTATATTGCGTGGTGCTTACTCTATTTTTCCCAGAAGGATTAAGGTGTTAGGGGACTCTGTTGGCATTTGAATTTGAGATCCAAGGAAGTGTTTTTTTAATATAAAATTTATGTGTTTATTTTAAGTTACTGATCTTAGTGAAGTTAAGTAAAAGAATGTGCTTTAGTTACCACTAAAAATGTAACATCTCTATATATGAGACTCTGTTTTATGTAACTGAATCTGCAACTTATTAGAGAGACAAGGTGGGTGAGGTCATTATTGGACCAACTTCTGTTGGTGAGAGAGACAATCTTTCGATCTTACACAGAGGTCTTCTTCAGGTTTGGGAAAGGTACTAAGTGTATGTCTACACTGGCAGAGTTACAGCGCTGGCAGTTACAGCACTGCTCAGAGAGCGCTGAAGTGAAACCACTGTTGTGTGTTCACACTGTCAGTTGCCTGCGCAATAGTGTGTTCACACTTGTGGCACTTGCAGCGGTATTCAGAGTGGTGCATTCTGGGCAGCTATCCCATAGAGCATCTCTTCCTCTTCTGCCTATGCTTGTAAGAACAGCAAGAGGAGCAGCCGGACAATCCACCCTCTTCCACTCTCTGACTCCACCACCTCAACCAAGCTTCATACTCAGCAGTGATGATTGTAGTATTAAATTGCTTGTTTAAAATTGTTTAAAATGTATATAATGCCTTTTGTCTAGCCAAAAAATATTTCCCTGGAACCTAACTCCCCCATTTACATTAATTCTTATGGGGAAATTGGATTCGCTTAACATCGTTTTGCTTAAAGTCGCATTTTTCAGGAACATAACTACAACGTTAAGTGAGGAGTTACTGTATCTGTGAAGCCAAAATGCAACATTTTACAGAAGCAGTATTGTTTGCAACACACAGAACATTGGTTCAGTGATTTAAAACACAGCCAGTATTCTCACACCTGTCACTAACTGGCGGACCCCAGACAAGCACCCATGAGCCACAAGACCCCCAAAATGGTGAGTAGCCACAGGGGCAGGGTAAATCAGTGTTCCCGGGCCCTACTGTACACTGAGCACATGGCTCTTCGGGAGAGCCAACACTGTGGGGGGGGCCTGATAATTATTCCTGTCCCCACATTTTCCACATGCTGTGTTCATTATGGAAGATATCTCGCTGCTGAGGGTGAGCAGGAAATCAAGGGAGGGTCTTCTCCAAGACTGCAGCTTCCACCCTGGCCCTTATGTGGCTCACCTGTGTGCAGCAATGGTCCCCCCACCCCCCAGATGCTGATGAGGTCCAGCAGCTCGGCATTGCTGCAAGCGGGAGATCGCCTGGTCTGTGGTGCAGGCATGGAAACCTGGAAAGATGCGCTGAGACCACTGCACGCATCACTGAGCAAACAGGAAGGGGACTTTTAAAATTCCAAAGGAATTTACGGGGTACGAATGACGGTTGGTCACCTGAGGGCAGGGTAGTAGAGTTCAAACCGATGGCCAGGGAGGTAAGAACAGGCATTGTGGGACACCTCACGGAGGCCATTCGCAGCACTGTAATCGACCAGGTTGTCTACACTGGCACCGTGGCGCTGTACCCCGGCACAGAAAGATGTATGCCTCTCGTCAGGGTGGTTATTTTACAGCGCTGCAAACTGCAGTTTCTGCGCGCTAAGTGGCTTGGCAGTGTGTACATCTCGGGACTTACAATGCAGAAAGCTGCTTTACTGTGCAGAAACTTGCCAGTATAGAGAGGGCCTAAGTGTCACAGCTAAATACAAGATCAAACAGATAGTTTAGCATAAGTAGTTAACACATATTCTAAGGGACCAGTCAAGGTGAAGTGGCCAGTTAACACTTCTGTAGTCTAGGACAAAAAGGGGAGTTAGTGGGTCACAGATTGTTGTAATAAGTCATAAATCCAATGTCTGTATTAAGACCATGATTTTTAGTGTCTAGCAAAGTTATGAATTTTAGAATCCAGGCTCGTCTTTTGGAAGTGTTGTGCAGGTTTCCTTTGAGGATGAGGACTGATAGCTCAGATATAGAGTGATCACTTTGTGAAAAATGTTTACCCACAGGTGTTTTTCTCTTTTATCATTTTCCTGTGTGAGTTCATTCAAAAGCATAGGGATTGTCTGGTTTGAGCCACATAATTGATATTGGGCATTGAGTGCACTGGAAGAGGTACACCACATATTGTGATAGGCATGTGTAGGACTCATGGATCTTGAAACATGTATTGTGGGGGATGTTGATCACTGTCTGCAGGTTATAATATTTAAATATTTAGTGCATAAACCCCACACAGGCTCTGGCATGGATGGGGTTAAAACCTGGTCTCAAGCAGCCAGACATCCCTGCAAAAACAGCGAGGATTGCAGTGGAATGTAGCCACCTGACAAACTGGCTGTCTGCAGTCTACTAATACTAACAAGAGTGAGTGGATTAGGAAGATCTTCATGGTGGAATGTTTGCAGGCCCCACCCACTGCAAGAAAGAGAAAGAGCACAGAAAAGTCCAGCATGATTTCAGAAGGAGCTAGAATATAGATATATCTATATCAGCAGGGCCATTCTTACCTATACGCAAAGTATGCAGCTGCATAGGCCCCAGGAAACTTGGGGATGGTGTGAAGGACAGAGAGAAGAGGGGGTGAGTGATTGACACCTGTTGTAAACCAGAGATTATTTTGCTGCAGTAGACAGGGCCAGAAAAAAAGAGATGGAGTATAGAGCAGAATGGGTGTCCTATCCTGCATTTTCTGGGCACCGTGATGAAGAAAACAATTCCTTAAGCTTTTAGGGGCCATATCCTGCAACCTCCTACTCACATGAGAAGGCTTTATGGAACCAAGTAGTCTTTTTAAGTTAATGGGTTTTAGGGTTGGACTATTGAGGCCCAGATCCTCCTCTTGAAGGGGATCCTTCACACACAGAACCCACCTTTCCATACAAAAGAGGAGCACATGCACAGCTGTTGTGGTGACACTTTTTCCTTCTCCATCTTGGGAGGACTTTCTAGGCAATCTGATATCCGAATGAAGAGATGAAAATTGAGTTGGTTGGGGATGGTTTGGGTGGGAGGGATTACTGCAAATAGACCCAGCCTTGTGGAAACTGGTCAGAAAAACTGGCAACCCCTCTGGCTTTGCAACTATTGTGTTTTTTCTGCTGAATGCTTGCTTGAGATCCTTGACACACGGGTGACCAGAAGGAAACTGTGGTAGTGTGGGTTGGAGCCAGGCTGTTCTGGAGTAGGGGGGAATCCTGGCAGAGATTTCTTCATTCTAAGGCTCCTCTCACTTCTTTTTCCTCAGCGGGAGAAGATCTGGCCATAGTTAGGACAGCATAGGTAGGAAAGCCTTTACTTTAAATGTGAACTATGGATGGTAACTTGTCCAGATAAAGTAAGAACTGACCCAAACCTCTGCCCAAAACTCAAATAAATCCCAAATCAAAATGTATTTGTTGTCCAGAAAAGTATGGACTTTATTATAAAGTTTGACTTTATTATAAAAAAATAATTTTAACTTTCCTGTGTATCTGTATTTCCTGGTTCTGGCTGGGACAGGAAGGGCAAGTGCTAAAATACCTTTTGAGAGCCTGTTCTTGCGAGACATATTAAATATCTCACTAGGAAGCCCATTTTGTGATACTTCCAGATTTTCTAATCTTAAGAAGTCTGAAATATGAAATATTTCAGCAAATATGGGAATTTTTGCATGCTTATCTGGTTTTATTTTAAACTGTTCATAAATAATCAACATCTCCCTGCTTCTTTCAAATCCATCCTAATCACATAGATTTTTTTTCTACCAGCTATTGCTCAGACTAACCTGTCACCCGCATTAAAAAGGTAAAAAATAAAATATGCACTGAATTTAATAAGTAAAATTCAGTATTACATCATTAATAATAGTTGGCTCTGATGTGCAACTTTTTGTCTTCAAAAAGTCCTTACAAATATATTTTATTTGGACTATGGACACACTTATTTTGGAGCTTGTGTAGCAGGTGTTTTTCTTAACCATTTTTAGGAGAAATCCCAAGTTTAGAGGAAATGAGCAGTCTATTATTTAAATTTCCTGAGATTAGAGGAAGAACACTTTGCCAAACAATGCCTCTTCACTTCAAAACCTCTCCTCATAAATTATGTTAGAAGATCTTATTAAAGGTCTGTAAAAATTTCCTATTAAAAATGGTTGATTGCGGTCCAGACCATCACAGCTTTTGTGCTTTCGTTGAAATACCACAGCTGTCGCGAAGAAATATACTGTGAGACAAAAGGTTTTGTTTCCTTAGTAATAAATTATTTCTGTGATATCCGAAGAAAGATAAAACTTTCACTACGTTTGAGTGAAGGAAGATTCTAGTGATAACTTGTTCAAAAATCTATAAAAAGAATATAAGAATGTAGATCTAGATAGCAAATTAGAATCAGACTTCCTTTTAGTTTAATAAAGCAATTACTTCTGAAGTCAGTGAAGATTATAACCATGGATAATGGAATGACTTACTAAAGCACAGTGACTATATCTCAATAGAACCTCAAGTTGAAATTTTCAACTCTGACCTTCGGGAATGATATAACAGAAACCTTTAGCATTGGCAATTTTTAAACCAACCAAACCAAATTTTAAAACCAATCAAATTTTTAAATTATAAGAAACAGTATGTTTACTAATATATTTACAAATAGAGCTGGGCAAATACTGCAAAATTTTTCAGAGGCTTTTACAGATTTGCTTTGACTATGTTTGTGTTTTCATCTATCTACGGAATATGAATTTTCTGTTGGGAATTTTTGCAGAAGCAGCAAATCTATAGGGTATAATGGAATATGTTTGCATAAAGCAAATATTGATTTAGTAAACTCAAGCTTTTATACTGAGGACATAATTCTAAGCATTATACTCACTTAGGGAACAGAAGTATACCATGTGACCTACTTAGCTAGTCAAAACTTAATAACACACCTGTATTTTGTGCACAACCTACAGCCTAAAAGTATTTACATAAATTATATGGCAAGTAATGTTTTATGAAAGATAAAGAAAATCACAATTTGCTCCTGGACAGTTTGTAGAAAAAGGTCAAATTAACTATATAAATTATTTGTTGTAAACAGAAATTGGTGAATAATTTATTAGTGAATTGAGAAGAAATATAGATCCTAGAAAAAAGAGTGCAAGAGATATTTTGGGTTATTGGCACAGAAATTAGTTTGCTTTTATTATTATTTATTTTTAAGTGTCAACACTATTCTTAAGTAAGCCAATTTCTTTACTGTGTGGCTAATAAAAGAGTTGACTGGAATCTTATT